AGAAACACATTACCGTACCACAAGGAACCTTTTGCAGCTGAGGGGCTTCTGTCGGTGCTTGTTTGCACGCATGGTGATACACGATCCTTCAGGAGGAGCCCAGGCAAATACCCAAATGCAGGCCTCTCCGTTGCACCTCCAGTAGGCAGTCAAGGACCGTTCGCTAAAAATGAGAAGAGACCCTTCGGGCAATTCTAATACTCCACTGATAGACCACGCGAGATTGGCCTAGCTTCGGTAACCATGGCTGAAATCTGCTGAAACGAATTTCACGCTGCAAGCATGTCTCAGGATTTGAGCTAGGCACATTTGCTTCTAGGTCTAACTGCTGAATGTATAGGGCTAAATCTGCAGAAGCTTCTGGCTTGTTTACTGACCATGAAAATAAGCAGCTTCACTGGCACAGTTAAAATTTGGCAGGCACCAGGCTATCCTTACAGCGTGTCTCTCCACAAAGCAGAACATACCGTTGCTCTGCAAGTCAGCAGCTAGGGGAAAATTACTCACTGATATCAGAACTGCCTCCCTCAAGACGTGTATGAAATTCCATTTAGGCTACACTGCTGCTACAAAAGCTAAAACCTAATTTCTGACATACGGTTTGTTAGTGAATGGTGCAAAGGACGCCTGTAGCTATTGCTCCGTGGGCCACAGTGACCTGCGCTGACAAATGATCGCTGAACTACGGGCAACTGCTCTGACCTTCTTCCGTAACACTAATATTTTTTTGAAAAACTTTGCGAACCTAGACACTTTTCCACGAGGCCAAATGTATTTTACGGGCAATCGAGGGCATAATAATACCCACTTTGCTGGATAAAACGAACCGCGAATGGCACAAAGACATGCAGAATAACGGTGTTACCCGTAATCGGCCCACACAGCCTTCCAGGCAACTGAAGCCAAAGCAGCTCTCTCTCCAACGCGCTATCACTGATCGCGAGCGGTCAACTCTGTTTGCATATGCACGAGAAACTGCCTTGACGGCACGCTTCATGTCGCTAGCCACTGCGGGCACCCCCAGGCATCCGTAACAGGCAGACAACGAACTTCCCTTGGTGACACCAAGACTAGCACTGGCGGCATACAATGACTACGCATTACCTTATCACGCTGTGCTGGAAAGCTGTCAAGACTACACTTGTGTTTGTGTACTATAATGTACTTTCTGCGAAAAGTATCGTGCACCAAAAAGCTCATGCATCACAGACAAATGCATCACCCTAGCAGTTGTTTTATCGCCCCGAAGACGACTCTTATATATAATGCTTCCAATATGGCAAAGTTCGTAACACGGGTACGTCGAATTACTCCATCGCTTATCTCATACTACTTCACAGGCATGCGGCGAGAACACCAAGCCCAGCAGGCAGTCTGCGCATTCAAGTACAAATGGGAGAACTATCCCGAGAAGGTACACCTAAAAGAACGTGTGAACCGCGGGAAACGTCCTAGATAGAACAGCTGCGTGAGCGGCTTATAATTTTTTGTATGTTCCTGGTAGATATTCAAGCGTGGATGCAGGCGAACAGATGGTTTCAGGGTGATCTTTCGCAAAAAAAGCGGTCATGCTAAGTAATTTACAGAATATGGGTACCTCTTGTCTAATGTCTAAAGGAGCGTTCTAAATTAATGACGTGCACAGATATACAAGCCATGAGAAATCTGTATTGAACGTTTTGCGCACATCCTTTCTTCTGGAGTACTTTCTAGGCAGAATTATGCTGCAGCACTCCAATACAGCGCAGTAGTGCCTGGAATAGTACGTGGCACGCGCATGGGTGCTTGTATTTACGCACCTAACGAACTCTTCAACCAACGATGTGAGTAACTGTGAGACACGCATCGAACACGGATTCCGAAATATATAGACTTGTAGTTGCTCACACAAGGCCACACAGCAACGTGTCGGGCTACTTCGTACTTTGCGCAAACACAGCATGCATTTTCCAACTATCCAAGAGCCTTTAAAGGGCTCTAATGACCATCTACTGTGGAGAGTTTTAAATCAAGAAGTGTAACAAAGAAGGCCTGCTCTGTCTATATGGAAATTCTGTCCACGATTATGCACTTGCATCAACAGCAAGCTGCATAGTGCACTTTTCGGTACTATGGCTTTTCACAGACTCAAAATCCTGAATAAATAATTTACTTTACATACCAGGGCACCATTATTCGGCGATCATAAAACCGTGCAGAATGTACAAACAGCCAGGTATTCTCTAACCTTTGTTCAGTCTCGTTTGTGTTTAATTCTATCATGAACACGCGAAACATAATTGGTGAGAACTGACATCCTGCGTAGTATCAAGCAAGCAGCGCCTAATCAACAGGGTGACTTAAACGGTAGTGCATATGCCTTCGCCTGTGTATCACGTTGACATCTCACTGCCCAAGGAATAAGGTGCCCAGCAACAGGATGAAGAATCAAAGAGGATGAGCAAAGTAAGTTGTGCGCTCCACTTTTACGCTAAGTGGCAATCCTTTACTTCAAAATATCTCGAGTTGCTTTTGCATGAAGTTCATCCCAGTGTTCCATTTGTCGGCTGCAGACTTTGGTAGAACAGTCCTGAACGGCACAGCAATAGCATGACAGTGAATCCAAGTGTTCACGTTCATCGGTAAACACTAAACGGCGTGCTTTTGGCGGCTATGTACAGTTTATGTCTTTACAATCTCTGCACTGGAGTACATGGAGAATCGTGGACAGCCAAGCTGGCTACTTCAGTAACTCGAAGCTCTACAGCTACGAGCATGTCTCGGAGTAGCAAATCATCTTCGTAATGTTGCACATACTACAAGAGTACAGGGGGAATCCAGCGTTCTACGAAAGTGTTTGGCTAGCATTTTGGGGTTCTTTGGCCGCGTAAACTGAGGCCCCAGCTACCGGTGTGCACGAAATCACGAATAATTTGTCAGGCTTGGAAAATCGGAGAAGGTTCAAAGTAAAGGCATGCACATCCAGAGACGTGAACCATCTACAGACTCGCACTTAATTTCTTCAAAATACAACCCCTTCGCAAGTTCTGCCATGAATGTTTGTGCAAACGGTACCTACTGCCTTATCCAATACGCCGGCAAGCGCATGATCAAAATTCATTGCGGGAGCAATAAATCCCTCTAAATTCGTGCTGTAGCCAGTCTCTACATAATCGATAATACACGCCTTGTACTCGAATCGGAGTGGGGTTCCAATGCTTAGTCGTGTTATATAAAATGTCGAATCGGTTGAAAAAGTCCTCCTTTATCAACGACACAAAAAATAGAACCGCCTTCAGGAGCATCTCATGTAAAAACATATTTACAGGTAGCATGAGACCAACATAAGCGAAAAATTGATAGAGGAAGGACTACAGAGAGTGGACGGCTGTAGAAGTGTGACATTCTATCGTGGTCGTAAGACAGTTCATTTCTGGTCTCACTCTAACCTCATCTTGGGGGGTTTGAGGGACGAGGGAAGAATGTCGTAAAAACACTATAAGTAAACATTCAGTGACTTCCTAATATGTTTGAGTTTGGACTGAACTATAATGTCTCGCAAATCGCCATATATTTAATAGTTTGTAGTTGAGTGTAAATAATGTGGTAAAAGACGACTAGGTGTAGCTGCGTGAGCTACAGGCACAGACGTCATCCCTGGTGTGCTTCCTTCCCTTCCACAGCTGATTTCGTTCCACAGCACGCTCATTCCATGCAAAGTATGAAGCGCAAATGTATAGCAGGCCTGAAAAACGATATCTGTCCTAATACTTGGGTAACTGAAGGACGGCTGCAGTGCCACCAAGAGTCTGCAGTTCACGAAGCCTGTGCTAGTCCCATAGTCCATCATTAGCGTTAGCCTATTTTTCGTGCGCGTTAGTTTATATATTTAGTCTACACGCTGCAGAGATCCCACGACACTTTATGCCTTGACGCGAAAATGTTCAAAAAAAGAAGCGATATCCCCAAGCTTGCAGCTAAACATTCAAAGGGCACCATTCGTCAAGTACCTGTAAGCACTGAGATCCGATGCTCTTTGAGCAGTAATTCGATGTAGAAATCACAAGCAACGTGAAGATGCGATGAATAAAAGTTGTACGGTGCATATGTTGTGCCACACCTGTGAAGGTGTTCACTGTGTTTTGTGCACAAGACTACCACTGTAATAGTGAGAGAACGGCATTGACTGGCAAACTTACTCAAGTTGCGCGTTTGTTAGTTTCCAATGTAGAATATATCTTCCCAAGATATCGCAGAGGCGAAAAGTGGGATAACTCAAACCACGTGCTGTGTGCTCGGCTGCTCTGCCACCGGCACTGTGGGAAAGACATCGTTATAAGTTGAAGAGTAAAATTGATATCTGTTACCGTTCACTTTTCTAGTTGCACTGCAACCGCATGGATCCCGTTACGTATCCTGGTCAAGAAGCGGGCAAGGGTGAGCGGCCGCAGGGGGCCCCTAGCGAGGACCAGTAGAGACTTTGTTGTCTTAGTGCTGTGCCCTTGTCTCCTTGTGCGCTTCACTGCCATATCTATGCCAAACTATGAAACGAGTCATGATGGCTTCCTTCAATGACTCCGCATACGCCTTCTCTCCATGTGTTGCAACCTGTCGATTAGATTGACTACTGGCCGCGAGCGACATTTTCTTCAATCTCAAGGCATATTTCCGAATGGCACCAGGGTGGATCACACAGGCTATTTTGCAGGTGTGCACCAGACATCAATTCCGGCATACAATACACAGTTCACCAACGCGCTTCCAGCAAATCGAAACATCAGCCTTTGTCCTATACAAGCGGCTGGTTCAGCACAAACACTATCATTTTCCCTCTTTCCTCTGTTTCAAGCCAGAAGGGAACACCAGGAATGGCATAGTGGGCACTGCGATGTGCGTTACGACGCCCCCATTTTCTTCTGCGGCCTGGATTTGTGATCACTAACATTCCGCCCTTCGGGCACCCATTCTTGCCTTGATAGTTAAACTGAACAGCAGGATATGACTGGGAGGAACGCTTCAAGATGGGAGGCAGACTTGTGCTGTTTTTCCTGAATATTTTGGTATATCGCCTTAGGAGTACAGAAGCCACGGGCTCGGCGGGGACTCACAAGTGTAGCAGGCAGCAAAGTGCAGGTTTTCTTTCGTTAGATCGGAAGCGGTTTAAGGGACTACCTCGACGCCTTACCTTTTTGAGTGCTGCTGAGCTCATTGCATTAGCTGGTATTGCCGACAGAATAACAATACCACGAGCCTGGGCAACACCGGGTGTTGCCCAGGGAGAACCTGGATCCAAACTGTGGTCAAGTGAGACGAGGAGTGCAGGCATACCAACGCAAGTCTTCACAGAGCCATGTGGTTCTTCTGATGCAGACAATGCAGCCCATGGTGTTGGTGCTGCCCCTCCTGCTACTGCTTTGGGAGGTGCGCTTGCTGCCACTTCTGCTGGAGCAGGGGCTAATGCTTTGGCTGGCATACCCATAACAAGCCTTCGAACTGCATGTCGAAAGCTACAGCTGCCCAGCAAGGGGAAAAGGGTCGAACTACTGAGTCGTCTGCAGCAAGCGCGATCATTAGAGGAGCTCTTAGCGCTTGTCAGGCCAAATGAGGTACCTCCTGCACCTCCTGATGCCTCTCAAGAAGCTAACAAAGTCCAGGAGCCACAAATGGAGATATCACGTAAACCAGCTCACAGCCGCTGTCACAAGTGCAACCATCGGCTTTCATCCAGTATGTCAACCTCCCTATGATAGCTAGAAACATGGCTTTGTGCAGAAGCCAACTAGGTGGTGTTCCAAGCCAGAAGTGCACATTACTTTGACACTATTTCAAAGAAGAGGAAAGCTGGGGTCAGTGCCAGTTTGTGAGAGTTCCATCCTGCTGCGACGCTGCTGGATCGTGGCGCAACTCATGCAGCCTCCGATTTTGTGCTATTCTGTTCTCTTCATCAGAAGCTCGGTTTTGCTCCAAGTGCGGGGCTACGATATGCTCTGTTGGTCAAGAGACTCTCAGGGAATTCGTGGAAAAGGCATTTTGGCCTATCAGGTAAGGGTCGCGAGCATCCTTGATTGCAACTGCGTTCCGGTATGGAGGTTTTATTCTACGCTAGGACTTGATGCCTGCAATCGAAATACACACATTCGAATACCCATACCTGCCCAAGAAACGCAGCAGAGCCCTCAGGTTCAAGTCCCATAGCATCGCATGTACAGATACACGGAGCTCATACCTTTGAAAGGCAATCGCGAGGTCCTCTTTCAATTGCGCAGCTGGAGTCTTGTGTAGAAACTATGATAACTTGCATGTGAAGATCTTGTTTTACAGGCGTTCCCCTAGTATGCGTGATTTGCTGTGAGGGTTGTTCGTTGTGCTTGTCCTTTACTCCGTTCAAAGAGTGTGTGCTATTCATTATCATTTTAATTTTTGCCGTTTTCACCAAAGCATTTTAAGGAATGTTCAAGTGTGAGTGATTTTCTGGAAACGCTCAGGGAGCAAGAAGTGGGCAGTAACACAATGAGGGTTGAACGTGGATTTTGGCAGTCTATTTTACAGGTTCGATGAGGAGGCCGTTTTCTGCTGCTGCCACTTTTGCTGAAGAATTTGCTTTTGTTTGTCCTGCTGTGATTGGAAGCATGCTATTATTTGTAATGGCTCTGAGGCCAGCGGGTCGATTTGGGCTGCCGCTCCTACCGAGACTGTTGTTGGTGGTGTGGTAATTGTGCAAAGAACTCTTGTGTATATGCGAGAATACTGAATATCCGGTGTACGTTCAGGTTATTGGGGATGTACCAGTGGCGAATCTCTCTGCCGCAGTTTGGGAAGAGTATTTGCGGTTAGTGTCAATTCACTAAAACCTGTACATTAAGGCATCCAAATGTTCTGCACAATACCACGGCTCTCTAAGCATAAACATATGGCAACAGCCCTTTCTTTCGAACAAATTTCCTAGAGGAAGCCTATCAGTCAATGAACGTGTCATGCTTTTGGGTGGACCTTTTCTTTGAATCATTGCTGAGGCTTTATGGATATTCTTCTGCAGTTTGGCTCTCATCTTCGATACGGCAATTTGAGTACATGGGCATCCGTATTACATTTTAGCAAATATTTCTGATTCTTGCCTGCTTGATGCAGGGCTTTAAAGAAACGTAATTGTTCCCCGCGGACTCAGGTCTTGCATCAGGTGGCATATTTGGCGGCCTTAAAGTATGCGGTCCACACCCGTCGCCTCGAGGGGATTCACGATTTTCGGAAGATTAGAGGGTGCACCAAGCGCACGCTGGTCTCTGTGCCTCTCACCGCAGAAGAGGTGCGACCAATCATTCATTTCACCTGGGAAACGTAGCAGAGGCTGCCTCTAGACAGCCTTAGATAAAGATCAGTTGCCACACGGGCATGTGAGACTACATTAGGTGTCCAATACCAAAATTTCTGACTGAAAGGTACAAGTCAAAAGAAACGGCAGACCTAAGAAGCAGCCCACTGGCGTCACTTCCACGATATATGGTTACTCCTCACGATCCCTACTCCTTGAGTTCTCGCCTTTCTTGCATACGCCAATAATCCCTTCTCAGGTGTATTTACTGTTGGCAGCTACGCCAAAGACCATGCACTGTGCCTTATTTGCTGTTGGTATTGGAGCGGGTCTTCGTCCGTCGGAGATAGTATCGATGCGATGGGAAGACATCAACATGCAGGAAATGACGACAACGGTCCGTGGCTCTAAAACTGCAGCATCCGCGGCAGTGATCCCTCTTACCAATCTGGCTGCGAGAGAACTGATGCGCTGGTACAGCACTCGACCACGTTGATGCACCCTAATAAGTAGCTGAACGCACGCTCTGTCGACATGTGCTAGTTGTTCCAGAAATCTCAGAATGCTTTCTGTACGGAAGGAGGCAGGCAATCAGAAAATGTTGAAGTGAAGTATTATTTTTTGTGTAAAAGGATTTAGCGCGTTTCAGAGCTAGGCTTACCGTTCCCAGCGTAAGTGGCAGCGTACGACTCTTTCACGCGTCGAATACGACGCCGCTTACATGTTCGAGTTTTGTCCACTGATTGTTATTTGTAGGTGGGAAGAAGAGGGAAAGCCAACTAGTGGACTGTGCTTTTACGTTGAGGGAATAAGAAGCCGAAGTAGCAGAATAAACTTACGAACGAAGACACCAATACGTAAAGCACCATTACTGGTCCCCTTGCACAATTTGAAGGCTTGGTTTGACGGAAGGATTTATGCTGGTGTTGGTTAAATGCATGTCATTTGCATACGTAGGCGCTGAATTTACGTGCTACGGTGCTCGCGAATGCCACCATTGATCATTCATTGCTAATAGAACCATGGCCTCACATGTTAAGATAGATGGAAGCCTTCCTCTGTTTGAATATCCAATTTGTGAAATTTTAAGTGGCATCATGTTTTGTATACATCACCTCCTTTTAGCTCTGCTTTCGAATGGTATTAGCAGATGTGTTTAGTGTCCTGATTGAGGCGTTGCAGGATCCTTTAAGAAGGCGTTGCAGGCGGCAGCACATCGGTGAGCAAGGGATTTAACAAACACTTTATAGAGCAGATGACGTACTAGCTTGTATACATATCATCCACTGCCAGTCGGCTATGTGCGGCTGTGTCAGATTTTCATTTTTTTCTTTTGCTTATAAGATGCTTCTCGGTTTCGTTACAGGGCAGGAATCGATGAGACACGTTGTGGAGAGCCTCGTAGGGTGTTCCCGTACATACTAAGGTGAGATTGAATAATCTCAAGTTACATAACAAACCATCAAGTTTATGGTGGCCAAAATTCGTCATTGTTCTACACCAGGGGTCTAGTAGTTCGCTTTGCAGTATTTATTTAAAACGACGGTGAAGGGTCATGCGTACAGTAGCGCCGAAGCATCCCCTTCCACCAGAAGAGGTGATTCTTGGGGATTCAATAGTACGATGTACATTAAGCGGTATAATCTTTGATGCCATCACAGGTCAAAGGAATTTCCTTCATCGTTTGCTTGTTGCGATTCCTTGAAAGCGTTAGTGGGAAACGCAAGCGCAGTCACCGCCGCCTTTGCAGTGTCTGTTCTCATGCAGTTGATATTTACGCTCGTACAAGTGCACATTATGGTGTTCACGTTGCGGTACAGACACTCCTTTGCTACAATTGCTGCCACTTCGAATCCCCCAGTGCCTTTACCAGTGGCACAGGTACGTGTGGCCCGCAGAAAGCGCATGTTGCAGACATGGCCAGCAGAGCGAAAAACAATGCAAGAGAGGAAGGATCACACATAATTGACGAGAGTGCAGCGAGCCGGGAAAACGGAAATATTCGGCACGGGATCCATAGAATCTAAACCGCTTACCCTCCCAGATAGTTGGGCGCAGCTTCGGTTTTGCGGCATATTGTCATTTTTATCCACTACGCTGCCTGATCTATGGCGGCTAAGCCTTGCCAAATGGTGCATCCTGGAGTATCTGTACCCCACTGCAAAACAGTGGATAGCGTGCATTAGTTCATTTGCCCTTAATAACAGAAGGAGTGATATTTCTGTCAGAGTATTTCTGCGTGTCTACGCGATATCGCTTTCCAGGCAGTCATGAGGCACACCTCTTCGAAGATGCTCTTGGAGACCTATGCAAAGGCAGGAGCCCTCGTGATCAAGGAAGGACTTCGCAACTTTAAGATTTAAATCCCCCGGAATATACTAACACAAATTTCTTGTGGGGCAAGGATGCCTGTGTGGCACAACGGCATTCATTGAAGAGAAAATCGAAATGCTGTTCAGAAAAACTTGGAACATATGCACTAGCATTTCACATGGTGTAAAGGTGTGGGTTCAGTGTAACTCCGCACACTATATGTGAACCGTTTTGAGGTTTTTATGTATACTCTGGTTATATCGATGAGTATGTACAAGTACAATATTAACTGCTGTACAACACACATTTTACTTCAATCCTATTGCGTCATTGTTGTGCATTCTTTCTTGAACTTATTGCACCAACTTGCCTACGCACTGGAATCGGCAAAATCTTCTAAAAGCTCCAAGCATATTTGCCTGCTTGCTCAGTGTAGTCTACCTCGTGGAAACCATCTAGAAGGTAAATAAGCTCGAGTGCCTCCCCACAAAAACAAGGATACGGAAGGATACGGTTTATGATGAAGGCGTGTGGCCAACATATATTACATATACTTCTGTTGACCGAAGTGAGAAATTTTCGCACTTCGTGCATTAAGATCGAGGAGGATGCAATTGACGCATAACTGCAAGTTGTTAAACCCAGCTCTGATTGCGTCATTTCTTACGAAGACCCTTAACGCTTCTCTTTCTAAGGAAGTTCCCCTTAGGTCCTTTCACACCTACTCGCTTATTATGTCTAAGTTTCCACAGTTTTCTACCGGATATAGCGGGCAGTGCCTCCGCAGGAACCTCATCCGGATGACGAGGCATCTTGGCAAGCTGTGTTGCCCGCGATATTGCTGCAGACTTCGACCCCTTGCGTTTCCATGCAGAAGTACCACGGTCCCTGCAAACATAACACAGTGAGCTAGCACCGCTTCCAGTGAGCTTATGTAATATACATAAAAGATCATAACCTCAGTTCAGCTAACCTCGTGGCAAGACACTGTGGAACACGTTACTACACCATCGACTCAGGTTTTCTTCGATGGCTCAAGTCTATTTTAGGGTACTTGTGTACTTTTTCATCTGATGCTAATATATCGGAATCACTGAGATGTAGAGAAGCTATTGAGACAGACCAACAGGCATATCGTTGTACTAGTGGAGAGCCTACACTGCTGCTTTGAATGACTTGAGAGGATCACTGGCTGAACGACGCCGAGCACCGCTGCGGTGGCCTTTCCCTGTTCCCTCTCCTGCCTTTTGCTGCTGGATTGCAAGTTGAACAGCTGTCATCTGCACCGCAAAGCATAAAACACATGCCTTCGAACAGGAAATATCCAACACCACACTCAAATAAGCTTCAAAATTACCAATATCACCGAAGCAGTTTCAAAAAATTTCCACTTGTTACTACAACAGCAAGAGCCAATACCTGGTGGAGGCATCTGTGTGTCTTGCATTCCCCAATTACTCAATGTACTTCTCTAAGATTATTGGATCCCTTATACTATTTATAAGAGATCTGTGCATATCCGCTTTTCATCTGATGTTTACTGATAACCTGTGGCTTAAATCCTTTCATCAGAGTGCGCAATTTCGATATATGTATTTGCTCTAGTTGCCTTCTAGCAAAACTCAAATTTCAGGTGAAGAAAACGAACTTGGGTTGGCTGTGTCTGGGTCATTAGGTAATCTGGAAGATGCTCCAAGTGGCCCTTTGAGACATTGATATCCTGCAGAAGCAAAATGGGCAACACAAGCATTCCGTGCAGATGCTAGCACTTTCGTGAGTTCAGGGTTAAGCTCTTGGAAAGGAAACTAGTTTACAGCGAACCAAAATGGCAGGTTTATCCACAACTAACGCTAACCAGCTTTAATTCAACGAAACCACGAATCCCGTTGTGTGCCTCTTCATGTACTGATGATGCCTACACATCCAGCTTTCAGTGCAAGATTTCTTTGCGGCGTAATTCACAACGTATTGAGAAGCATGAAGGCTCAAAAACGGCGAAGCACACCAGGTGCTTTATTGCTCTTTAGTGTTAAACGGAAGTATGTGTAGGAGATGACGAGGCTTTGGCGAGGCAGGAGCTACAGCTATGGTGTAGATATGAACTCGGAACGCGATGCATTTTGGTTTGCAAGTTTTCTCCTTCCCAGCCGGACTCAGTTTTGCTTCGCTGTCTCCTGTAACTCGCGAAAATTTTTTCTATATCTGTTAGTTTCTAAGATCAGCTTACCTTCAGCTGTTTGCACGCCCGCTTAAGTACTTCTCTATCCCTAGGATTCCTTTCAAAAAACTCCTTGAGCTTCCTCGAATTCAGCAGCTGCTGTTGCAAATCCCGCGCGACAGCAGCCGCAATGACCCTCTTGGTGAGCCCCCGCCGCACATCCTCCACTCTGTAGCGAAAACACTCTATATCCTGTAGTTGTAGAGACAGTGGGGTGAGCGCTGCAGAGACATAGCCAATCAAACAATCACGATTATCGATTGTGAGATAAACCCACCTTCTTAGGATAAAACGAATTGCTTATCATTACCAGAAGTACACTCTAAATACGTAAGGCATTGCAACTAGGCGTAGTTGCTGAATATCAATCTGACTAGCTTTTGCTTTCTTAATACGCAGTCGTGCTTCACTGCGCGCACAGAAATCTCATGAGGTAACTCACTAGTGACTGCAGACTGGTTTGCTCACTACCCTGCCCTGCCTTTTCGTAGCTTTCTAGAAGCTTAAAAACAACTAAGGCCTAGGTCGACAATAGTGTATATTGACAGCCACAAAAAACCGCATGTCCACTGTTAAATTAATTGCTGGGTGGCTCGAACGAAACGCACTACTCTCGCCATGAGCTTCTAGAGAGCGTCTTAAAGTAAACAACTGCTGCAAGAGCATTTTCTGCTCTTCCTGAGAAGCATCGATCAGAGTCACTGCAACACCAGCAGCGCCGCCGCGGGCGGTCCGGCCAATTCTGCGACCCAACAAAGCGCAAAGCACCAGAGAGACGAAAGCACGTCAAAACCTACATTTGCGTTGATATATACGTCGTTACAAGCGTCGCAATCATTATCTCCATGGAGATCCATCTCGAACCACGGCAATAATAGCAGAAACACACCTACACGTGTGCCAATCTGAAAATAATGAGAAGCGTTCACATGGCCAAAGCTCCACTCACCTGTGCACATACGACTTAAAGGAAGCTGGGGCATCAAAATTAAAGACACATGCAACGCCCTGCAAGTCGAGGCCTCTATGCCCAGCGAACTCTGCATCCTTTGCCTGGATAAACAAAACTCGCACATGACTTTTGACACTGACTCATCATATAAAGTACTTAGCATTTCATCATGTTCTGAAGACTAAACTTTTCGGGTAATTCCCATTCAGATTGCACCCCCCTCAGCCTTTTAGCGAAAACCCTGCTTTTTTGACTAAGCGTATGCTCCTCCTAATGAACATGAAATTACGTAGAAGGCCTAAAACAGGATGTTCAGCGCAACACTAACAAGTCAGTATAAGCTCAATTGACGCGCATGCGTACAGAAGCAACAAAGAGGTGCTTTCTATGTCATTCAACCTTGCTGTGCGTTTTGCTTCTGGTGGATAACTACACCTGTTGTGCTGCAAAAAGAGGTGCTGGCAATACAAAAAGACAAAAAACAAGAGCCTATGGGTAAAATAGTACCTTTGAAGCCTGTTCCCTTTTCCGCGTGCCACGAGATTCGTTGGACAATTCAAGTCCCTCTCCCTTTCCTATTTTATCGTCTTCTTCCTTACTCACTCCTTGAAAAGGGTCATCCCCCTTCCCGCACTGCCCATCGCATGTAATCAGGATGTCTACGAGACCCTGATTAAACGCCTATAGCAAAATAGCAAACGTACTAAAAGAAAGAAATGTAACAGCTTTGGGAACGCAGTGATGGAATGTGCGTAACCAATAACAGGCGCACAGAGCAGAAGAAGGAACACAATGAACCAGAGTACGCTTAATGCATGCTTCAGCAACTAGCGCATTGTCGCAATAGCCCAAAGTTACCCTGGTCGTGGTAAACCTTTTAGCAGCGAGAAACTATTAAAGCAGCAACAATGTATGTCATACACCCTACACCAAAGTACCAAACAAATGCATGCTGTATTGTCAGTGCATAGAGGAGGCCAAAGGAATTGCTGGGCAGCATTAATTACTTGTACAACATGTGTTCGCGAATACATGTACAATGCCTGCATGATACTAGCAATTTTCCTAGGTCTAATGCAACGTACTCAAGATACCAACATGTGCACTGGTAACATTCTGTTCTTTTCAAGGTACGTGTGTGGTATCATCTGAGCGTACTTGAATTTGTTGTTCGCGAGCTGCAACAGGCAGGGTTGGACTTAGGACGCAGCTTGGAATTCCAAAGCGATCGAGAAACAAGCGCAACGCGTACACACTGAGGAAGCACAAAAGAAAACAAGGCTCTCAGGCACGTGTCAAGGCTTGAAGGCGCATAAAGTATTATTATGGGAGGTAAACGAAGAAAACATGAAAATTGCATACAATGTAGACATATGACAGACAAATGAACGAGGACGCGAAAAAGCAGGAGGGCAGTCTGCCCTGTCGTTGTGAGAGAACCAAACATCGAAACCCACGCATGTTTACTTAAAACAAACAGCCAAACGCACAATCGAATCAAATATCGGACAGGAATCGAAAAATGCTGGGGCTTAGCGAATCGAGCAAACAACGAGGTTTGAAACATGAAAATTTCATACTCAGACACCTACTTCGCAACATCTTTGCAAAAGACAAGGCATTTAAGTGGCACTAGGCCAAGACGAAGAAATGCGTAGGCCACCATCCATTTCTCTGAGTCTGTTGGAACCTGAAAATAAAACTCGCCAATGGAACCGGGTGCCCCGAGCTGCCCCTGTTTCCCCGTCTCTTCCTCGATGCGGATTATTAGAGGCTTGTGCAGCATCAAGCTCTGAAGCTGGGAAAGCTGAAAACAAGCCACACGCATAATTGAAACCAAAGCTCATGCCCTGGAGCCATGAACCTTGGTAGTGCAGCCCATGCAGGCTGTATATTCCATCCATGGCATCCACCCCAAAAATCTGAACTGTAAGCGCCTGCGGCTGTAGACCATGTCATGAAGCACCGAATACCCTGCGCTGAGCCTTTAGCAAGCAGAAATGGAGCGAACCTCTTGATTTTGAGTTGCGGAAACGAGAAGGCTTTGGTAGTGTCTGCTTGCGGTCGACGGAAGCAGCTGTAGGAGTCGCCTGGTGTCTTTCTCAAATCCAAAAGCAAACAGCAAATCCGCCTCGTCCACTACCAGCATTTCCAGCGACAGCTGGAGCTCGATACTTGGCTGCTGCTGCCGCAGCTGCTCCAAATATTGCAGCAAACCTGTGGGAGTACCCACAATCACCGTGGTAGGCACCAACAAAGCGCCCCCGGAGGCGCCTCGAGGAAGGGCGCCCGCTGTGTGGGAGACAGTCACTATATCGTTTGTGTACTTTAGCAGTTCCAAAAGAACTCCGTACACCTAAATAGGAAAGCGGCACACAGCCAGTTAGCCAGGCTCTTACCAATTTTCTAATGTGCAAAAGGTTGGTGACAAAGGCGGTGCGCGCGAGAGCACACACTTCCAATAAACCTCTTTGGGATCATTTGCAAACTCGTCTACAACAACGCTCTCGATTTGATTCGCCCTCACTCAGCTGTCCGCCTATCGATCTACCCCGGTGTGCGTCTCCCGTTTTCTCGCGTTCGAGACCCCTTTCTCTCACCTGAATGCAGAGCTCCTTAGTGGGTACCAGTACGATGGCGGAGAAGGGGGGCAGAGTTACTCTTTCACCCATGCAATCCTGCTGCTGTTGCTGTTCCTGCTGTAACAGAAGCCGCTGAAGAAGTGGCAGCAAATATGCAAGCGTCTTTCCGCTTCCGGTTTTGCCCTCAACCAGCAAGTCACGCCCAGTCAGCGCAGCCGGTACTACCTACAGGACCACAGTACAAACGAAACATTAGCTCCATCAGCCTCTATGAATCCTTTAGAGAGCGCCAGTCAAGCAGCCTACCAGCTACTCGTCTCACCGCCATGCTACTTAGCATAAGCATTGAAGAGCGAGCGAGCAGCCCAACGAGCCGTCGGGGGACCGAAAATTATCCACTATCCAGAGGCGCTGCTCTGCTGTGTGGCGCACGCTACGCGTCTACCCCTCAAAGACGCATTGCAGCAGCCAGAATAACACCAAAGCCAGCACCAGCAACGACACCAATGGAGCTAGCACGCGCAGAACAAAGGGAATGGTCCAGAGCAAAAGCTACACTGTCAGTGTGTGGGCTTGCCTGTGCCTGCACATGAGTGGGGTGTTTGAGGTTGAGCTCATCTGTAAGAACTTTTGTGATACGCCTGTCAAGATGCATTGCCCCGAACTCTTGAAATGTTACAGAAGTATCCAAAATACCGCTTCGTCTGTACACTACAGTTTCAGCTGTTTCTGCTGCTTCATGTTCCAGCTCTCGCTGGAGATGATTTTGACCATTCTCCATTTCCCCCATTCCTCCTGCCGCTGTTGTCGACGCGTGAGTGGCCGTAGGCAACGATTTCCTCTTTTTCTTGCCTCCTACAGCCGGCAAACTTGGCTCCGGCGACCTCTGCAAAGCATCTCGTGTAGCCTCGCATCCGGATCGCCCATTGTTAACACTCTTGCATGCGTTTCCTCCTGTTTCATCCTCGCTAGAAACCAGAGGAGGAGTTGAAGGCACAGGATCTCCTGGCCCCTCGCTCTCATGTATGTTTGCAGCAACAGCACGAAGTTTTTTCTTAGCAGCCTGCTTCTCTCCTCCTTTTGCCGATTTGGCGCGCACTGAACGGCCGGATGAAGCAGTGATTTGGGGGGGTTTTGGCGACCGCATACTTCTCGAAATTAATGGCCTTAAGCCCTGCGGGCAAAAGAGCTACAGCTCGCACTATTCAAGCCGTTTCCCTTCACGGCTTGATTCTAATCTGCAAAAAGTAGAACTCTTATACGCTTAAGACGATCACCAAAAATCCAGGCTAGAAGACGGAGAGGGCTGCGCACCGGAGGTAGCAAGTCATGGGGGCCCCACAGAATTAGTCAGTGCTCCAAGAACACAAGAAAAAGCCAGCGAAAAAATAAAAACATGTTCATACTAGGAACAGAAAGAAATGATAAAACCAAGGTCGGAAAAAAACAAGGACTCGGCCAGATAGTCGTACCAACCCTCAGATAGTGCCCCACTTCACTTCATAAGCAAAAGCAGGCAAAAACAAAAATGCAGAACACCTATACAATTTCCTCCGCTGAGCTAACAGCCATCAGAAATAAGGGAGCATAGAATTCTCTGCTTTTAGAAGACTCTATTCCAGACACGTATCACCTCAACCCAAGCTAGCCGGTCTTCCAAGAGAAAACTGGACCATCCATCATGGAGGCTGTACGTGCTTCTCAAAGCCTCACACTGCAGCGCGTCATCCAACTAGTCTTCTCGGGCACACCCTAATGCAATGCTATGATGGTGGCAAGCGCACCGCATTTCAAACCCACCATGAGATCGTTGGTCCTAGCCCTGGCTGCGAGGATCCTCGTAAGCAACTTCCTCATAAGCAATTACCTAATGGTAAGAACCAATAAAGCGCATACTACTTGCCCTCCGTGTGTGTAAGTCTTTAAAGAGTACGGGGCAGGCTATTCAACAAAACCGAATGTCTGAAGCGTGTACACCAACCAACACAACTAGGTTATCTAAACGACCAGAGGGTCGTATTCTGCATATCTTCTGCTCTAAATCTTCAAAAACCATGGAGGCTGCATCCGGCAGCGTGATTGTAAAAATTCCCGTACCACTACATACTTAACTCAGCGTTACGCACTTTCCTAGCAGGCTCTATACTAACTTTGCCACAGCGCCCACGTAGCAGAATGGCTGCTCATAAAACGGGAGAAAAGACACGCCGAAATTGTAAAAAGCTGTCCACGATTTTACGTTGTAGGTAGGAGGCTAAAGCAGCCCACTGGTTCATTTATCTCGAACACCTCTCCCGTTCATCTACACTGAATGAGGAAGCGAGTTGACGAGATGAGTGGGAAAAACGTGTTACTGCCACATCATAGTAACGGAAACAGGGTAAGATCAAAGTAGGCGTGTTCTATAATGGCAGCTAATTGCAGGAAGTGCAGCAGAACTTCCTGACCGACATGGCAAAGAACCACTACCCTCTGCAGGGAAATCTGCGAGTCAAATGTCACCTCAGTGTAGAAAGCCAAACATGAGGATTCCACTAAGAATGCCTGAGCACGGGCGCTATGCCATATGGAAAAAAGCATTCCCAAGAGATGGCCAGTTATAACGCCGCAGTATTCCAAGTCACAAAAAGACCAGGTGCTAAAACAACAGGAACACAAGTCAAAATATTCACACAAACAATATAGCGACAAGAAAACATCTATACAGGGAAAGTTCAAAAACTAAAACCAGGTATTCCGGTGAATTAGTCAGACAAATGCCTATGGAAGCAACGAGGCACCCAGACGGCAAAAACTGCCCCAGTGCACTCTCATACTCGTCATCGTCTCATCATTAATACAAAATTATGGCAACAACAGAAGGTGCGATAAGAAATGCAACGTGATCAAAGCAAAGTCACGCGTACTAAGGCCACACAACGTACGGACGAACACGCACGGGTGCCAACGATTACTCGACACAAACAAAACACCGGATCGCTCAGGCAGAAGGCTTCAGTGTAACTATGACAAGCTGCTCTCATATTTGACGAGCTTGGACAAAATGCCAAAACGGCGTTTTATCCTGGACTCTCAAGCAAGACTAGAAAAACTTACATCATCAGGCCCTTGACAGAGAAAGCACATTAACAAACATAACACCCAGATAGCGCACAACCATGAATGCGTGAAACAGCAAAAAGTGTGAACTAACAAAGCCTTATAAAACCAACATGATTCGGGCAATGGCATCACGAATAACAATGGTTTCCTAACTACTATTTGGAAAAATCTGTGCACATATATCCCATATTTCGCAGCAGTGCAAAGGGAACGAACGAACATGGCATACGATACATATCGGGAAAACAGTCAGACAAATGCCTTATAAAATCAGCTGGATCGCAGTCGGCAAAAACTGCCGCGGCGGAGTTTCATGCTCGTCATCGTCTCTTCATACTGTTCATCAGCGCCAGAAAAGGCAGAACGCATTATAAACAATAAGCAACTAAGTTCCCCTGGGCCCATATCTAATGAAGATACGAATCAATGCGGTACCATCAAACAAAAATGGAAGACAAACGCACGACAGAGGAAAACTCTCTAGCTCATGCCTGGGTGTCAGAAAATTTTCGGCTTCGGTGATCGTCACTGAAGGCTCAGGCCTATCATCGAAATCATCACACAGGCAAGAGTCTCGAGGTCAGCGTGCTAACACGAACACATAACGAAGCAAAGAACCAAGACACACAATCGGGATAATCCAAAAGTCTTCATATACCTATAGCAGCATGCGCAGCGGCTACACCAATAAAAATCAGACAATTTCTAGCTACCATTACCAAACCCTAATCACCTGATTAACAACCTTGATCTGCCTTTTGATAGAGAAACCGCCGGAGAGGACATCCCATCCCGCCGCTAACAACCACTACAAAAACGCCTCAAATCAAAACTCTAGTATGTGCTGCTAAGCAGCAAAACAACTAATCAACGGCCTCGGTTCATTGGTCTAGCTTTTGGCTCTTAAGCAGCAGTAGGCCTGGTATATATATAGTGAGAGTGGTGCTGCTCACCCAGGGGTTTAATCAGTCCCTGGGAGTGCAGCTCCCTGATGCCTCTCCGTGCAAGAGAAGCATTGATCCTGAGCCGTTCGCAGATTGTGAACGGAGTAATCAGCTTCATTTTCGGCACCTCTGCGAGCAACTTGTCCACGGTTGCCTGATCAAACATCACGGCGTAGTTCAACTTCTCCTTGCTCTTGCCTTTGGACCATTTCTGCAAAGCGCTCAACAGACACAAGAGAGGGAGACCCCTAAAGTCATCAGCAGCAAGAGAGCATAGCTTCACAACCCAAACATCTCTTCGATCGTGAAAGATTAAAGCATGCTGCTAACGGGGCAAGGCATCAAGTCGTTAACAAGAAACACAGGTTACCGCCTGCTAGAGCCAATCGCTGAAGTACTGCAGCTCTAGGTAGAACCACCAACCCGTTAGACCACAAAACCTGAAATCAACTCCCAGTATGTTCAACATACCTTCTTGTTCTTTCTGCTGCCAGCGGCAGCCGCCGCGGCAATCTGCTCTTTGGTCTTCTTCTCTTTCGGTGCCATTCTGACGCATTCCGAACACCATTGCACAAAAAGCGCGAAACTGAGTTCAGAAATGGGAGTCACTGGTGCCTAGTAGTTGGTATGACTCTTCCACGCCATCTAAAGAGGGTATGCAACGGGGAAGAACTAGACGCATGCACGCTTCTGCCCTCCCGAGCACAAGAATTCCTCTAACACCAAGCTAGACCCTGACCTCACATGTCCCCAAACACCCAGTCTAACAGCAAGAAAAACCACTGTCAAAGATCGGCTCCCCATTAAACATATCGAAGCAACGATGTGGCGGTGGTAACAGGGGCATGTAGATGGCAACAGGTATATGAACAAAAACACTCGTGGAAGCTATCCTGTGTGGCTTGAAGTCTTACTCGTAGCATAAAAAGATCAAAGGCAAGTGAAAACAACCATTTAAAGGAGATATGGGTGAGAAAACTCCCAACAAAATTTTCCCCGCATCTGCTGCAGCATGTAGCTGCGCCCCGCAGCAAAACAAGGCTACCACTGCAAGCGCATGCATTCCTTCAATAAAAATAGCAGCATTCAGAAACTTACATAATGCAGCACATTACTGCGTATATTTTAGTTCAGTACAAATAAAGTTTGTTGGGGACATGGTGGAGAAGGACGGTATAATTTGTATCGTTCTTCCTCACCAGAATGGAACCTCTCGCCAACCAAGCGACGCCCCCAGCTACTAGAGCTAAACTAGGTTTCAACTAGTCAAAACTTGGGCGCTCAACCAATCCCACTTTCATTCTTTTTTGTTTTGGTTAGCTAAACGCCTGCTGAAGCGGTATGATAGATGAATGTGTGTTGTGTACGACTCCTTGCTGTAGCCTGCACTTCTGCTTGTACAGCATAATCAAAATTCTCCATAGAAAGATACTTTATTTCGGGCACAATTGAACCCCTTAAACAAAATGACTGAGTGTCTTCCAGAAAACTTCTCTCTCCCCTGCCTGCGCCGCCAAATAGTTTCCAACATGAGGGTAGAAAGACAACAGGGCTGCGCGTGGCTGTAATGTAACACGTTAAAAAACACTTACACACTTTGTACTTCGCCAGACATGATTAGATAAGGTTTTGTTTAGTAATCCCCTTATCTATTTTTCTGCTTGTATGTCGCAATCATTGCGAAGTAGCATGAGCTCGATAATAAAAAACGAAGCAATATTTTTTGCATCTGCGATAGGTGCAACTAGCTATAAACGCCCGGTGAGCATACAGAGTGCAGCAACGTACATCTTCGCTGGCTCTCTTCCCTCATGTCGAGACTTTGCCTGTAGCAAAGATCAGTCACAACGCTTATGTGAACGCACTCCCCACAGAGCGTGCAGGAAGCTATAGTTTTTCATGCCGGTATACTGATAATCGCTGCTTTCATGAGGGTAAGTTAACAAGCAACTCAGGATAGCCATAAGGATGGGTGTATACACGCCGATTTTTTTGGTGGCTATGTATCATATCGATAATGTCGAATCAGTGTGTGTTGCGCCATGTTTTCTAGAGGCAGAAACGCTTCACGGGTGACTCTAGCGTTAAAGAGAAAGTCGTCTGCATAAGGAACGTGCTATAGTTCGGGCTTTCATCTAAGGCCTCGTCCATCACTACATACCGAAATACGCTGAATTGCAAGCGTTTGGAGAAATAGAATGGCCTACTAGGGGAACCTATGAATAGACCCGTATATCAAAAAGTTCCCTACATTGGTTAGCAAACGCCAAAATGCAGAACAACAGCAAAGATGAGCATACATGAAATTGAAATTTGGTGATGTGCTACATAGTGATGAGCTGCAGGCACGCTGGCGCCATGCTAATCGTCTACTGCACCGTATTGAGCCAGTCACTGGGTCGGCTTCAAGCCTCGTCCAACTGTATTGGAGGCCCTCACAGCATAAAGAGAGAATTGAGCATCATGCGGGTTATTTGTTGATAAAATGCAAAATACAGGAATCGTCCAGCCATTTGGTTCAACCCGGTGTTGTTGAAGAAAAAGGACGAAAAATGCCATGTGTGGGTTAAGTGGAGCCGCTAAACAAGATTCCCGCAGAGCAGGAACTCCTGTCTTCCCACCATTGACTAAGCTGAAAAACTGCACAGCCTAACGGCCAACTGGATATCTGGCTTCACGGATTCCTTCTAGTGATCCTGATTGACCGTGATGATAGGCAGGAAACAGGCTTCTACACTCACATTCACATACTTGAATATGGCTGTACGCGGTTTGAAGATACTAATAGACCAAGTGAGATCGTCTATTTATATAGGATTTAAAGCCCATAAAAAAATGATGTATGGGTGTGTTACATGGGCTTTGTTATACTCCTCGGCCGAACTGTACTACAGCACCTACAGTATCAACGGTGTATGCTTAAGCCAGTAGGACACAATCGGTGGTTCGAGAAGGTATACAAGTGTTCCTTCGCCAAAAAACAATTTTTTTTTCAGTCCGTGTTTCTGCTGCCGAGCTGAGCCAGAACCAACCAAATTTGAAACAAACAACGCGCTTCAAACACCCACAAGGACGTTGAAAAAATTTATGGGTTTGCACCTGGTTTCCGAGATTCCACTCCTGGATTTTCTTGGAGAACTGCTCCTTTCACCGATCCAGTTAAGAACTCGCAGCCTGTAAGCTAAAACAAAGAGGGCCTGCTGGCGCAGCAACGATGCAACTCGACCGCTTTTGCAGCTTTACAGGTATTATTGCTACCCACATAAAGAGCTCCACATCTTTTGAACAAATGATGCGAGTGGCGTAGGGGTGGGTGCTATACCCTCCACCCGCTTCGTTCTCTAAAAAAAAGCAAATTTTTTCTTGTTATGATCATCGCTTGACCGCACCTAGCATCGATGATTGCTGCGAGAAGGGGCACCTTCTGTGATGGTGGTGCGTAAATATCTAGCAGCACAATTTATCTGGGCATCATTTGGCAGCAGAGGAGTACCATCAGGCTTGATGCACATTTCGAGGCGCTTCATGGACTTTTGTCATTCTAGACTTGCTCGATGAGTTGGACTTCTCCTACAGAACGAATTTGCAGAGAACTATGTGCACGGTATCGCCAACGTGATCCCCGACGCGGTCACGGAAAGCCCAAACGATTCACTATTGTGCATTCCATCCGCTCTTGTTTGTGATGATTCACGGCTGGTATCAGACTCGCGTGAGTTTTATGCATTTGCTAGCCATGCACCGCCTAATATTGCAAAAATCCAGGATAGGAATGTGGTGATGCATTACCACTCTGAGCATGGCCTGCTGTGGTTCAAACACCGGAGACTCGGTCTCTTCTATACAAGCCGCCTTTGTTTAGCACTGCCGTTTCGTGCAACACACATGCTCATGTGTTTTCGGTCCATGATGTTATTCAGACCACGATGAAACCGGCTTCTCGGCTTTTTTCCTGTAGCTGGGAATGCGTTAGATGTCAGGAATATGCACCATCATGCCCAGATGGTCAGGCGCTAATGCTAAAAAACTTGTCCTAAATCCAAAGGTGTATGACGTCTTCCTGTATTCTAAAGGAGTTGGAGTAATATGGTCATAAACTTTATCGAGGGAATGCCGGAGGTCAAAGGCCAGGGTAGCATCTACTTCGTCGCCAGAATCAATGCATGCGCATAACGTTAAGCCAGCTCCACCACGCCTCAGCAAGTAGCTCAAATGCTCTTAAACCATTTCTGAGCATTCCAATCAGGCTCCAATATTAATATTAGTGGTAGGAATCCGAAGTTCGTTAGTGGGCACTGGCGTGCCTTTGTGACCCTCCTCACATGGGCCATAGTGTGACTACAGTAATCCATCTCTAGGTAGCTAAGCAGATGGATAACACCAGCGGCATTATTCTGCAGTATTTACGACTGTAGGCTTACAAAAATCCAATTATCAGGCTCGTGATTCTTCCTTGTGCTAAGTGACTTTTTAATGCCCGTTGCTCTTACACACCTACGGTCTGCATTGAGGATGCCTTATCCTTCGCAAACATTGACCCGGCACCCCATGGTCAGCAACCGCCCTTAGAGTACCAAAGATTTAGAGAGCAGCTGACTCGTGTACCTCAACGTTTGTGCAACGCTTGAGCGTGAACAGCGCGGAATTGTGTAAGTGACGATCCGCTATGTGGTTGAAGCCTAATGATTTGGTCCTGGTGGATCAGCAGGTACTTAAGGGTACCTGAAGGTGACGAGACAACGAGCTTTGCATTCAGGCGACTATAAACATTTGTGACTATCTAAAGAGTGACACAACAGCGGCATTGACCTGAGCAATGGTGTTAAACAAAGCCCTTATCTTGAGGCGTCATGAGGGAGCCACATTCGATGATTGTACTAAGGTTTGTACTGCGTCTGGAATTAACTGTCTACCAAGCAAGCTCATTCAATATCCTGCCCCACTATACAAGAGTTTTAATACTAGGGAGGAGGGGCAGCTAGGATGCGCGTTGCTGTACCCTCTAAGCAATTCGAGCTTTCACAACTAATTCGACATTGCATCTAACGCATATGCGCACACCATTAATCCTCGTCCCAGTAAGCTAAGTACTTCGCAATGAATAAGATATACAAAAAGCTATCTGATATACCCAGTTCTTTACTAGCTCTCGAACAAGTAGGAGTAGTGGAGTAGAATGTACCAAAGTGTAGCTTAGCCTGCTGCATATGCACCGCAGCTGTCCTGCTTCTTCTAATGCTGACACCCTGTCAGGTGGAGACAGCAAAGGACGAGGTACTGTGGAGCATCTTTTAAGTGTTATTACCGTTTGTGTGATCTTGCCCTAGCACGGCTTTCTCCCTGGGTGCCACAGAAGCAGCCAGCATCGTCATCTGCAGATAATGATGTACCGTCCCTTAGGGGGTACAGTCAGCTACATAACACTCACAAAAAATCTTGGCCGTGTGCAAATATGCTCAAGATTTAGGGTTGCAAGTCTTGACGTTCACAGACTCTGGATGAGCACAACGCGCCTGCAGTGCCAGCGACCGTAGAACAGAAGAGCATCATGGACGGCCGGGTCTCTTTTGCTAAGTGTGTTGAGATTTAAGCATTTGTAATGTCTTTAATACTTATTCTTTCGACCTAAAGATCCTGAGCAAAGATCGGGGAACGAAGCTGTAGGTACGCTTGTGGGTGAGGGCTGTGACTCCGGTTGGAAAGAACTCGTCGGCGGAGCTTTTCGAAACACTTCGTTGACTCTGTATTATGAGGCGGGATAGAAGGACCCCAAGTTCTGCAGTTCGGCCTCGGAGATTTCACATACTTCCTATTATCAGTGAGTCAACCCTAAACAGCAGAGGCTGCAAAAGCAATTGAAGCAACTGTTGCAGGTCCACTCGGAATGGGGGTTCTTCAGTAATTGTTGCAATTGTCAGAAACGTTTTAGCACTACAAACGCTTCTAGGGGTGCATTGGTCTGTATAAACACGTCGGCAGGGTAGCACCTCCCTAAACGGTGACGGCAACAGCTTCGACCTGGCAGTCGACCGCAGCACCAACACCAAAGCTTCCTGCACCAGCCTCCCAATCATGAAGCAATTGAAGCCGTAGTACCAAAGGAAATTCATAAACCGTAGAAATTGAGAGGAAGTGTTGACAGACACGGCAGAAGCATGGCTGCCTCCGTGGTCACGGGGAATTCGGGCACCACATAGCCACCTACAGCACCGGGAGCAGCTCCAGCAACATCATTAACTCCACAAATGCTTAGAAAGGGAAGATATGGGGAATACACAGCGGCCAGGGGTGCAAGGGGAGGGGATGAGCTCCAACAGTAGACGGCCGTGCCAAGTCCAGTGGTCTCGAAATGCAAGTCACGGCAGCAGCGTTGGCAACAGCAGCACCACCCTCGCAACAGCACCAACGGCCAGGAGGATTGCCTCAGCAGTATCTGACAGTCCTATTATTCCCTTTTCTCCCGAACAAGGCAGGGAAGAGCTGCGCTGCCGATGGGAGCACACGACCATGTTCAAAAGGCAAGCTGAACCGAAAGGGGTGCTCATTCTAGGATTCCGCGCCTACGCTCTTGCCCTAGAGTATGGTCATTTTTGCGTGTATGCATGTACGGTAGAGCCTCTCCTATGGTGGTGTGCCCGCGCGTCCACTCATCGCTTCGACTTGCACGCTTGCGGTGTATGCGATCTGCGGTTCATGGTTGCTAGACTGGAGAGGGAGCGCGCAGCATTTATACGTGAGCATCTCGACGGCATCGTATTAGTCCTTCCCCAGGAGTATGCAGACTGCGACGATTCTGACTTCCTCTCCGCTGCGCATCCCCCCTCGACACACGAACAGCCGCAGAATGAAGCAGGGCAAGAAAACCCCGCCACCGCTACTTCCTGCTCCAGTCATGGCGGACGCAGCTCCAGCTGCAGCAAGAACAGCAGGGCCAGCCACCTGCTTTCTAGGTTTCCGCCTGCTCTGCTTCGTTACAAGGCGGGAGAGCCAGAGGGGATCAAATGGCTCGTCGCCATCGAAGGCGCCCCAGAGACAGTGTATAGCAAGCAGCCATTTCTCCTCAGTTTCAAATTTCTGCCGAAATATCCCATTGGTAAATCGTCATTTCCCCCGCTGATCCCGGAATGCTACCTAGTCCCGTAATACCGCACGAAACGGAGCTGCGTATACACCTCAAACCTTTACAGAGTCGGGCGCGTGCCGAATCCCTTGCTTAGAAGGCATTATTACGCGCACTTCCCCAATAGACACGCCGCCGCAAACACTAATCAGAATAAGGGAGGGTTCGAGAATACGCCCCTCCCTGGAAGTGCACAGCACCTGTACGCGCTGCCGTATGCTGTATGCTGGCTGCCTCAGAATCGCCGGAGTTGGTGTTTGTACTGCCGTATGTACCCCTCCATCCTCACGTCTACAGCAATGGACACATCTGCCTTTCCATTCTATACGATCAGTGGTCGCCCGCCTTGGGCGTTAAGGCGTGCTGCTTCTCGGTTCTCTCAATGCTCAGCAGCAACAGAGAGAGGAGGCCTCCCCCAGACGATCAGCAGTACTGCGAATCAAGAGGACGTAAAGGCCCCAAAGGAGTCAAATGGTATTTCCATGATGATACAGTCTAGTCATTTCCTGCAGTAGCTGCTGCTCTAACGGGACGAGCAGGAGCTGTAGGCAATGACGAGACTGTACCCTTAGAGAGGCAGGGGGAAGGATGACTTGCAACAGAGCATAACTCCTAGATTGCAGCAAATGTCGCAGGGTCCTGCACAGCTGCGACAACCGGAGCAGCAGCAAGCAAGGCCGCACTGGCAGCAGCATTGCGGGAACTGCTGCAATGTAGCTCACACACCCGCGCGCGCATGCGTCAAGGGGGCTTCCAGAGATTACAAGTGCAGCTGCAATGCAGGCAACGCCTGCAGGGAATGCATGGGGGCGTCCAAAGCAGAAAAATGGTGCATTTCCCAAGGCACCACCTAGCCACCGCCTCAGCGACTCCTGCAGACAGCACATAGCGTTAGAAATTTTGGCGTAGCACAAGCAGCTTCTGCAGGTCGTGTACTTAAGGGACTGTAGAGGGTAACAAAGTGACGTGGTCGTGAACCACACATCTCTCTTTGCAGCTGCCTTAGAGGCTGGTGTAGCTGCTGCTGCAAAGCCTCAAAACGCCGGCACGTTTGTAGCTTCAAATACGGCCTTTCCGAAAGAGCAACAATCATGCAGCCTCCGTTCTTTTGGATGCAGCCGCCGCTGTCCTCTAGTGTACACTGCTCCAAATGCAGCAAGCAGCAGCTGTGGCAGCAAATTAAGTGTACCTATGCGCGCTGGCATTTCTTTTTGTCTTGACTAGTAACTTGAACTTAAGCGAACTGAGTCTACGCAAAACTCCGTACGGGGCACAACAGCGCAGCTGCGCTCAGGCACACAGCACCACTGAAAAGTGACGAATCTGTCTCAGACACCTTGTTTTTTCTGCTGGGTATACCGATGTGCATGCAGTCCCAAATGAAACACTAGAAAAATGTCGTAGGGGATGTCCTGGTGCATTCAACAGGTGCCTTTTCCGTGCAGCAAAACCGCTTTTGCTGGGGGTGGCATCTCCACCTCAAGCACGCACTGACGTTTCCTCAACTGTTTCCTCCGGAATATGCCACACCCCATAGCGCCTCGGTAGACTCTCAGCCCTTCGGTCTTGCGGGCTGTCGTTCTTCCATTTTTCGATTTAGCACACGCTTTGTAGGAACGGTGCATCCCTGGAATCCGGTTGCGTGCCCTCCCTTCCCCTTCTCCCGTATCAACCGCCTCTCTCATTCTGGTTGCTGCTTTCTCTCTGCTGCCCCTGCCTGCCTAGTATTGTGTTCAAATATTTTCCTGCTTCTCCGTGCTTGCCTTTTGCTAGATTGGCCTCTAGCTCTCTCCGTTCAAGCCAATGCGCGTGTTTTGTGCGGTGTCTCTACATCTCAGGTCGCCACTCCCAGCGTCCCCGCTACCCCGCCCCCCCCCTTTCCCCGGAGTAGCGCCTTTCTTTTATATCTACTCGGCACTTTCTGTAGGCCTCTGTAAGTTTTCATGCGTTTGTGCTTCTGGGGTTGTCGTCTCTGTACACATCTTGAGGCACAGTTGCGCCTTGCGTTTTTCTAAGACGGCACCGTATGTATGTATGTGTGTATGTGTGTATGTATGTGTGTGTGTGTCATAGAGAGGCGAGGGACAGGGCGAGCACCTATACCCCTGAGCTACGCGTTTCTTGCTTCTACTGCTAGCCTTTAGGCTTTTCCCAGGAGATTAGGGTTCATGGCGTCGAGCTTAGAGGCTGCTCATCCCTAGCTCATCAGACGGCGTGTGCCGCTTTTTGTTTGCTGAATCTGTGCTGCAGCGTTCATCGCTGCTGCGAGACCGGCGTCGTGGCTTGCTGGAGTTGCCGTTGCTTTTTGCGGAGGCGCTGCTAACTTTGCCAGTGCTGGAAAGGTTTCTGAAGGGAGAGGCAATCCCGAAGGAATTTTTTCGCCTGAGGGGCTGCTGCTGCTGCTGCTGCTGCTGCTGCGCCTGAGGAGTCGCTGAGGCTGAGGCTGCTGCTGCTGCTGCTGCCGTTGCTGCAACCAGACGGGTGCCACTAGCTTTCCTGCAGAGACTCGCAGAGCTGCTGCCACAGCTTACAGAAGCAGCTTGCGGGGAGCGCCTCTGAGGCGTCTCTGGCGGACTGTTCTCATCTACTTCTGACTTGTGCGCTTTCGCTTCCCTGCAGGGGGGTGCACATAGAGGGCAGCCGCACAAAAATAACTGAAATGTATATATGTATATGCGTAAGCATATGCATACACATGTGGGCGTCTCAGCTTGCAGCAGCAGGACCAGCAGCCACAAATCCGACAACAAACCTCAAGGCTTCCGCCGACAACAGAGGTGGCATAGCGGCTGGCATCCAATTGCGCCAGCGTTCAGTTGCTGAGGATGCTCTGCATGCGCTGCAGCAGCAACTGCTGCTGCTGCTTGGGCTGCTGCTGCCCCCTTCTGCTTCCACATGCTCGTTCGACGGTCTGCTCCTGCAGCTTCTCAGCTGCAGCAAAGCATCAACAAACATGCACACACATATTCCAAAGCCCCATGGAAACATGCAGCAGTTGCCCATAGGTATTGCAACGCATGCAGATGCTGGTGCGACTGGTTGTGCGTTCTTTCCCCCTGTGCGCTGCATCGTGTTCTACGATGTCTTCATAGCTTCTAGGTTTGCCAAAAGCTGCTGCTGCAGTCCGCTGTTGATCAGGCTTACTAGTTGCTTCGTTTCCGACGCAAACTGCGCTGCCTGTGCTGCCGTTGCTGCAGCTGCAGCTGCGCAGCAGGTGCAGCTGCTGCTTGCTGCGGCAATCGCTGCGTCAAGGGCAGCAGCCGCTGCCGCTGCAAAGCCTTGTTGCTGCTGTTGCTCGTGTGCTGCTGCCGCCTCCAGCGCTGAAGCTGCTGCACGCGCTGTTGCTGAGGCTTGCTGCTGGCGCTGATGCAGCACTTCTACACACTGGAGCATTTCCTGATCCCTTGATCGCAGTGTATGCTGCAGCAAGCACATAAAGCAGCACAGCACTTATCTTCGCCTGCGGCTCAGCAGAGGCAGCAACACCAGAAAAACAACACCAAAGAGCATGCAAGCAGGCTTGCGGCATACCCAGTCCAAGTCAACATACTCACAGCCATATCTATGCATGCAGTTCTCGATTTCTGGATTTGTTGGTTCAATTCTGCTGTTTCCGTTGCATGAGCTGCAGTTAGAGACTTGTGTTGGTCTGCTGCTGCAGCCGCTGCCGAATTGAGCATCTGCTGCAGTGTGTCAGTTGCGCTCTCGTAGACTGCCGCAGCCGATGATGCTGCAGCACTGGCAGCAGCGCTTGCATTTGCCGCTGCTGCAGCCTGAGCCGCTAGCTGTTTTTGCTGCTGCTGCTGCACTACAGCGAACTGCTTCTGCAGGAGCTGCTGATGCTGCTCTGCTGCTGCGCGCTGGGCTTCTACGAAAGCTGTCAGCTGCTGCTGCACTGCGGCAGCCACTGCTGCTGCCCCTGCCTCCGTCTGTTGCTGCCTTGACTTCGCATCTTCCTGCATTTGTTGCTGCAGCTCCTGCAGCTGCTGCGCTGCTGCTGAACCCCCCTCAGCAACAGCAGACGCCAGCGTTTGCAACATCCGCTGGAGCTGCTCCTCTTTCCCGCTGCAGTCACTGCGAGCGATCTTAACTTGCTCTGCAGCAGCAACTCGTGCAACAGCAGCTATGCGACCGTCCACAAGGATCCGCATCAGCAAAAGCTCGCACAAAAAACAGTTCCACATGCAACTGCTTCGCAGCGCCAACAGCAGCAGTGTGCGAGCTTGCAGCTGCCCCAACAGCGGCAAGTACATACACTCTAAACGCATGCCTCCCTCACGTTTTGCAGCGAGAAAACACTTCTTCTGATGCTGCTGCGCAGTGTCTAGCAGTTGCTGCAGGAAGTCGGTGCGCTTCTGCTGCTGCTCCTGCAGAGCCATACACAGAGATCAGCAACAGCAGCACCCTCCTGTAGTTTATCTGCAGGTGTAGAGGTTTCGCCGCAAGGCAAAAAGAGCAGCGTATCTCTCTCTCTCTTTCTCTTTCCTCTGACGCTATAAGCGTCCCAGCAAAACAGCAGCGAGCGCTTGCCTTCGCCACTGCTTCACACGCTTCCATCTGCAGCTGCAGCTGCTGCAGTTGCTGCTGCAGCCGCTGCTCGTGTTCCTTCTGCTCCCGCTGCAGCTTTAGCAGCGCAGCACTCTGTTTCTGCAGCTCTTCCTGAAGGCATTGCTGCTGCTTTTGCTGCCCTGCAGCAGCCGCTGCCGCCTCTCCTACTGCTTCTTGCCGCTGCTGCTCAGTTGCCATCAAGTCGGCGAGCAGCTGCTGCAGCCGCTGCAGGAGCTGCTCTTGCTCTGCCGCTGCTGCAGCGGCTGCAGCCTGAGCAGCACGCCACCAACACGCCAATCAATTCGGCTGAGGAAAACGCAATGTGGAAGAAAACAGGCAGGCAGGAGGCGCGCTAAAGCTGGAGTTTCCCGATGGTCGCCTCGCCCTCCTGTGCGCTGACCTGTAGAGACACCGTAAAGGCAGCGCAGGCTCCTGATGCTGCTTGCTGCTGCTCGCGCTGCTGCTGTTGATGCTGCTCGAGCAACGTTATGTCGGCAACGGCTCGCTGCAGCGAGCTTGCCATTGCTGTGGCTGCTGCTGCATGCTGCTGCTGCTGCTGCGCCAGCGCCTCTGCGAGCACCTGCTCGTCTCTGAGGTTCTGCAGGGGTAGCAACACGCATGCAGCAGAGCCTTCACAAAGGCGATAAGCGGAGCGTTCGGAGCAGGTAGGCAGCTGCAGCGCTTACGCACCTATTCGCGAAAGGCTGCTGCTGGCTGCCCTTGCAATGCGCCGCTTTGTTTGGCGCTGCTGCAACAACTCGGCAAAGGCGTATAGCCGCAGCATCGGCACACCTTTTGGCACTCCTGCAAAGCGCCTTGCAGGGCTTGAAACTCCAACAACTGCTGCTGATGCGCCTGTTGTTGCTGCTGGAGTCTTGCGTGTTGCTCCTTGAGTTGCTCCTGCAGCTGCTGCACCCGTGCGGCTTGCTCCTGCAGCGTGGTTTGCTGCTGCTGGCGTTCCTGCTGCTGTTGCACGTACAGGTCCAGCGGGAGGAAGACGCCTTCTCGCTCGCGCTGCAGCTGCAGCAGCCGCCGCAGCTGTCCGTTTTCCGCCATTAGCTGCGAAAGCAGCGCGTCTCTCGATCTTCGCAAAGTTGCAACAGGGCGAGTCGTGACGCTCTTGGCTCTAAAGGCGTAATCTGCAAGTCGCAGCAGCAGCCTCCGAGTGCAATCGCTTTCCCACGCGCGCGGAAGCGCAGCACAAGCAGCCCCCTCAGCGGCTGCAGCACCCCCAGGAGGCATGCGCCTACCTACCCTCCAGGAGCACGCATCTCGCATGGCTTGGAAGCGGCAGTCGCGAGACAGCGAGCGCACACCTACCCAGTGTGCAGAGCGTTTCTTCAAGCGTGTTCGCAGTCGGACCTATAGTCGCAATGAGGCATGTGCGTGTGCTGCCTCCTAAGCTATCCTGTGCGCAACATTCCCAAGACAAGACTCCTCCTGACTGAACAGCCTTACACACAAGCCTCCCGCTGGCGAATTCTCCACTCAATCTTGATTCTCCTGCGAGACGCGCGGGAGCTGACCTGCAAGATGCGTGTGAGCTTAGAGTCTCTGAAAGGGATGTAGCCGCTCTTCTCGACAAGCGCATTTATGCACCTCCCAAGCGTCAGCAGAGACTGATTGATGGCAGAGGCTTCCTTGCGTCGCGTCAGATCCGTCCCCCCCCCCCAGCTCCTCTCCAAGTTCTCACTTCCTAGAGCCACACACACCGCAAAAAATGTGCCGCTCGATGCAGCAACGCCTTTCACGTCTCCTGTGCGCCCTTTGTGGGCTGATCCTGCTGCACCTGGGGTGCTACTGCGACTGCTGCAGCTGCTTAACGAGCGGCGCCTCTGCAGAGGTTCGACTCGTCTTGATTTGCTGCAGAAGCAGCAGTAGCAGAGGCAGCAGTAGCAGAAGCAGCAGTAGCAGAGGCAGCAGTAGCAGCAGTAGCAGTAGCAGAAGTAGCAGTAGCAGCAGTAGCAGAGGCAGCAGTAGCAGAGGCAGCAGTAGCAGAAGTAGCAGTAGCAGCAGTAGCAGAAGCAGCAGTAGCAGAGGCAGCAGTAGCAGAGGCAGCAGTAGCAGAACCAGCAGTAGCAGCGGCAGCAGCTCCCTCTTCTCCTGCTGCTGTTGCTGCTGTTGCAGCTGTTTCTCCGTGTATACCTGCAAGATCAACGAGGCTTAGCTTGCCCAACCTTACGACTTCCTCCACAGCAACCCCTCCTGCTGCTGCCTGATGCAGTTGCCTTTCTCTGGCGCTCCTGGTGATGGCAGGCGCCCCCTCAGCAAGGCTAGCTGCCGCAGCAGCTTCAGGAGCAGGAGGAGAATTGTCTGCGGGAGAAAGTCTTGGCGATTCGGTAATGCACACTGACAGCGAGAAAATGGTGTGACTTCTGCTGCTCCGCGCGTTGCTGCCACTACACGCGAAGCTGCGGCGAGGTGCCGCAGCCATCAGCAGAGAAAAGACTTCCTGAAGCAGCGCGTAGCAGCGGCAGCCACAGAAGCAGCGCGATACTTTTCAGCTGCCAAAGGGCAGCAGCGGCAGCACGAATCGTCGCGCAAGGAGCAGCATCACAGGCAGCGCGTAGCAGCAGCCGAATGCGCGCTAGAGGAGGCGTTTAGTCACCTTGCTGGCTAGGTTTAGAATTATCAGCATGCTTCAAGACACGCGAACGCAGCTCGATGAAGCTCAGCTAGCTCCTGCCTGTTACACGACACTTTGTGAGCCTTACTTGAGGACTGTTAACCCTTTTCTCGGTAAGCCCTTCTACGCGCACTGCGCCATGCACTCTTGTGGATATCCAGTTGCTGTTGGCATCCGCCTGTTGCTCTTCGTATATCCGCAGCTTGAGCTGCTGCTGCTGCTGTTGGCTTGCTGCTGCTGCGCCGCCGGCAGCCGCACAGCTGCCCGCTTGAGGGGCGAGAAGATCGACGAGCTCCTCATTGTATATCTCCATGAAGCTGCAGCGCAGCATGGAGTCGCTGCTGTTGCTCTGCTGCAGCTGTTCAAAAATGTACGCCACTGCTCGAGGCAGCACTCCCGCGTCTGGAATCAGCGCGACGCCAGTGCTGCGTGCGTCTCTGTTTTCGAGGCTTTCGCGGAGAGAATCGTCGTTGAGGGTGGGGTTGCTGTCTGCGCCGCTGCCAGCAGCCGGAGAGGAGGCGGCACCAGGCGCTGCTAACACGGCGAGCCGGCGCAGGCTCTCGGAGCTGCCTTCGCGGCTCTTGCATGCGCTGCTGCTCCTCGGCTGTACGTACTGCTCGTACTGATCTTGAGGACCTTCAATGGTATACGTCTTCCCCGTGCCGGTTTGCCCGTATGCGAAAAGTGTACAGTTATAGCCCTCTAGCACCTGCGCGCAGAATGAGAGCGCACTTCAAGCATCGTGCGTGCCGTTGCGAAGACGCTGCGGTGTTCTCGAAGAAGCAGCGCATGCAAAGTTGCAAAAAAATACCGCTTCCGTCGACACTTGCACGTCCTCTGCCTGTCGCATGCGCAAAGCCATCAGCTTCACCTGGTCTACGAGGGGCTTGACGTGCGTGTTGAAGAGCTCCTCTTGCTGCACGCTGACGGGGCAGACGCCGTCGAATTTGTAAACTCTGCTGCTGCGTTGCTGCTGCTGCTGCTGCTGCTGTTGCTGCTGCCTGTAGCTGCTGGGCGTCGGCAGCAGCACTGACACCTGCTGCGTCTCGGCAGAAATATGCACCGCAGTGCTGCTGCCGCTGCGCTGCTCCGCTGTGTTGATCGGCCTGCATCGCACTACCACTTTGATGTTCTCTGCTGTGCTGTTGCTGGCGCAGCTGTCGCCACAAGCGCTGCTGCTGCTGAGCGGCTTGCCGCTGCTGGAAGGCTTGCTGCTGCTGCTCTGGCTGCCGCTGTTGCTGCGGCTGTGCTGCAAGCTGCTGCTCGCGCTGCGCTGCAACAGATTCTGTTGCGAGGTGCTGCTAGGCTTCGCGCGCCGCGATGTGCTGCTGCAGCTGCTGCTCACAGTACCCCCAGATGATCTGCTGTTGCAGTTGCTGGCGTTCCTCAAAAGTACAGCCACCCGCTTTGCGGCCGCCTCCCCTTCGGGACTGCCGTCTCCACCGCGCACGGGCGTGGATGCCATTTCGATCGCAATGCTGCGATCGCCGCTAGGGAACACGGCGCGTTTGGTGCGTGATACACTCTTCTCACGATCCCTGCTGTTGCTTTGCACGACACAAGATGCAAATTTAGCTCCTCCTGTCCTTGATGGCCGCAGTAGCTGCTGCTAGTGCAGCTTTCTGCGCTCAGAGTCGGCCGCTCTTGCTGCTGCAGCACTGGAAGGAAGTCTGTATGCGTCCATCACATCTCCGCCCAAATTCGGATTCACAAGTCCAAAACAATGAGTTTCACATATTTTGTAAAAATCCTTGAAAGATTAGGGGAGAGAAAGCCCAAAATTTGACCCCTATGCCCTAGTTCAGAAACCGTGGTAAGCATGGTGGGGTTGGTGCTGAGGTTGTGGACCCCAAAGACACAAGCTCGAACTCAGAGACTTCGCGATACGCAGAGAAGTTCAGACAGCGCGTTGCTACATGTGATCACAATACGCTTCTACAATGCTAGGCTCAAAACTGTTGGATTGAAGCGCCTCCATGCACTGTTTCTCCGTGAACATTCCTGACCCCTCTGCAAGCTTCTGCAGGTCTGCGGACCAACTGATGATTTGTTTATCAGCGCTACCAGGAGCGAAATAGTGCAGAAACAGGCGCCTATCAACAGTATTACGAAGAATCCACAGTATTGCAGCCCTAGCATATAGGGAGCAGGCCCACCCTCAGCAGCGGCAGCACGATTGTTGCATTGCTGCCAGCGATAGAAGCCAAGCCTCCAACGGTCAAAAAAGCAGCTCTTGCGGTTACCACGCATCCATCGTCATGGAGGCACCCAAGTAAACCTCAAATTGGAGCGTAGGGCTCTCTGAGCGACAGTCCGAAGTCATGAAACGTTTCGGCTCTACGATGCTTCAGTAACTGCAAGCAGCTGGAGCTACGAATTATTTTCTTGCGGTTTTGCGCACTCAGAGTGCCCGCAAGCGCCTTTGCGCTCTTCTGCTCTCGGCGGCGGCTGGAGGTGAAAGCAGCGCTTGTAGAGAAGAATGCAAGTCAACAGGCATGCTCTACATCCTAGAGCCTTCTGCAACCCAAAGCCCAAAGCCGTCACCTGTTTTATAGTGCTTGAAAAGACCGCTTATTTAATGCGTCTGTATTCCTTCGAGGCGCTGCGTCCAGTGTCGTTAGTGCTGCGCTAAAGACTCACAGTTTAGGGATTTTCGCTTGCTGCAGCCGCAGCTCGGAGATATCCAAAAAGAACTTTCTACATTGTGGAAAGAACTAAGTCCATATGACAAGCAGGCAAGTCGTAAACGCTAAATTTTCTGTTTTTTTGCCTGAAAATGAAACGTCGCGTGACACACTGTCAAGTGCCTTGGGTCTGCGCGGCTGCAGCGATGGACTGAAGAGTTCGAAACCCTAAAGGCGCAACGCCTGCAATGGCAACAGCTTCACCAACCTGAAGGTGAATGCACTGAAGAGCCACGGTGCGTCCTTCACAATTCCTTTCCCTTGGATGCGCAATTTCTGCGCCGTTTGCACCTCTCGAATCCGTTGTTTATCCGTAAATCGCCAACCTGTACATTTTGCTGCTCCCCTCAGCCCTTCGACAACGACAGAATTCCCCCAGGCGCGAATAATGCGAATCGCAAGGCTCACGCCCTCTCTCAAAAAGGTCTGCCAAGGCACAGGTTTCCCCACCCTGAGATCAAAATTTCGTGCATTCTTGGTCTGCTCCGATTGCGTTTCAACTTGCACCGAATATCAGCGCAGAGCCTCAAAATCCAAGATGTATCCTGCAAGGCTTAGATTTCAGGGCCTGAAATGTACTCTCTGCGTTTCAGTTGTCTGCAGAAGGAGCGCGCTCTCTCAATCTTGCCACAGTAAGCCTCCCCGTTTTGCAATCTCGGCTGCATGGTCATGACGCTGTTATTTACGTGTTGTAGCTAAAGCTTCCCTGTCTAAGACGTGATTCATATGTGTATCGTGTCTCCCGGTCGCTCTCGCAAATTGTTTAACGTATTAGGCGAATCACAAGGCTCGTCCGCAGCCACTCATTTCGTACTGGGTAATGCGCGGTGACTTTTGTCTTTCAGGCTGCTGCTCTGCGCCAGTTTACTGTGCGAAGCCTCTCTGGCAGAAAGAATGACAAGACATTAACAATGGACGATGTCTGTAGGTCCCTAACAGACCCATAAAAGCGCTTGAAAAGGTGTGCGTTCTACGATCTCCGGTTCAGGTTGCGGCGTACGGCGTGTGGTGTGAAATGTATGCAGTATCGATGATCAGCCGTGGAGGAGTGCCTCTAAAGTTTTTGCAAGGTAATTCGCAAAAGTGCCAGCGCTTGCCTCTTGAGGCTTTGTTTTGGGAATCTTTATTTGAGATGCTCGCACTGAAAAACCCAGCATCTGCGTTCCAGGATTCAGGAGCCAGCAAAGGGCTTGTGAGTGGAGAGTTTAGGGCTTTGCACAGAGTGATCGCATGCTTATGGATGAGTGCAATGTTTTGTGGCTCGCATCCGCAGAGTGCAAGTATGCGGTATCAGATGAAGGCGGAGCAGATGTAGAGGAAGAACCCCAGGATGAAGGATCATCTATGAAAGCCGAAATCATAGGCAAGTAAACCCGCACTGCCGAGCTTGAATCGCTATCCAAAAAACTACGGCTAGATGCGCTCCCGAAAGTCTCACCTTATTGCATAGCAGCTACGTCGCAAAGTAGGAGCAAGGCCATTAATGGCTCTGCAAAAAGCTCAAAACTGTTCAGCGAGTCGGCTTTGCAGGTTTTTCTAAATGAACTCATTCCTGCTTGCCAGTGCGCTGCGAGCTACCAGATGCTTCGTATTCATGAGCGTAGCTGCCAAGGGTTTGAGTGCGTCCTTAGCTGAAGCCTGGCTGGAAGCTGTGTAAGCTCTCGTCTTTCCGCCACGTTGTGCTGTGCAGATGTGGAAAGTTCTCCGCGCGCCAGTTCTATCCGTCGTCCGTTGCCTGTTACCAGCAGCGGAAGCCTCGGCAGCCTCAAAGGCACTTTCAAGAGCGCCAAAGGCGCATCGGTTCGCAGTGCAGATATTGCAAGTTTCTTCAAACGGGCATAGCAATTAGTCTAACTCATCATGTACCTACTGGCGCCTAAGCTGCTCGCAGACCGGACGTGTACTGTGAGTGCCTCGCGCTGGGCAAGCCTTAGTCAGGCGGAGCAGCTGGCAGCGCGAGATGCATAAAAAGCTCTAGGCAATCCCTACAAATAGACGAAAGCAAAGTCGAAAGTCCACAATTATCCAGAGAAACAGAGATAGCGAAAGGACGCTAACATTGAGCATGGATAGGAAAGTGAAAAAGATAAATTCAAAGGTATAAAGATGCACACACGGAGAGACGCATGCAGACGGGCAATGTCTGTACAGGTCGTTTGTTGGGTGAAAGATGTGCACTAAATGCATTTCTGGAAAAAGGCTGTGGCGAAAACCCAGAAAACAATTCTGAAACAGCTTAGAGCGTCAACTAAAAGGAATCACCAACGATTCCTCTTTGCAAAAATCAACCTCCGAAACGCAAAGACAGCGCTACAGCCGAAAAAGAGTACTCTATTGCAAAACTTGGGCAATCATGAAGTGCGGAAATCAGTATAGCGTCCGCATCTGCTAAATTCATGAACCGAAGGAATAAACGGAAATGTTCAACGCATGTACCCTTCTGGTTTTAGCGCGTGTTTCGGTTATTCTTGCTCTGCGCCCGCATGAGGTACGCAAGTGCTTTCTAGAGGAAAGAAGGCAATTCGAATTCAAGCAGTGGATATCCTTGCAGAAAATCGAGAGGTTCATGAGCCCCCAACGCCAAGGAAACGAGAATTTTCCTGCTAATTCTGTGCAACCTCCTGCAGGCGAGGAGATGGGTCTGACATATGAACCATGGTGAGTGTGAAAGCGTCGTATCCCATCGGATCTCACATGTTTTCAATGTGCTTTCGAGACTTACAGGAAAGGGCAGGATGATGACGACTTGGGATTTCCTTCTATTAATGTAATTGCGGCTCTTGCTCATGAGAAAGGGCATTCGGGCTCAGCTTCTCATTGATGTTACAGGTGCATTACAACTACGAACCCAAAGACTGGCTGCATAAAACTTCGCAGCTAAATGGTGTGTGCAAAAATTCTTTTGTCCTCTTCGAATTTCTTTCAACGAAATCTCTCCCTGGTTCTCGGATGTGATAACTCTTGAATGCAGAAGAAGTAGCACTAAGAAGAGAAGCTGGGAAATCCGCCGTCAACTTGGTAAGATAGGGCAAATGAGGATATAGCATTGAGATATAAATTGAATTTGATTGCAGAAAGCAAACAAGGTGAATAGGAGGCCGCACCCGGGAAACATAAGCCTTGATCTCCAAACGAAATACCACATAGGAAGCTTTGCTAGACACGCTGAACGAACAGATATCGGATATTGACGGTACACTAATGCTTGTTATTTTATTCTTTGCCAAGTTTTCAGCAAACACTGACATGCAACAGACATGAAAGACGTCCTCTACACTCAGCTAATGCAGGTTTGCAAACGTGAAACCTAGATGAACCATTTCGACGCCGCACAAAAGCCTATGCAATGTTTTGGATATTCCAGGCGAGGGGACGAGCGACGGGTACAGAACTCTAGATAGTAAAGCCCAAAACGCAAACGCTCATTCGCAAGGTTAGGTGAAGCCAGCCTTTCGCGCCACATGCCTGACGCCCTCAAGACTGGATCAGGCAAGCTGCCACCTCGCAAAATCGCGATACGCAATACCGCTAATCCTAGAATCCCGCTTCTTTGCAGGGCTAGACACGCCAGAGGCAAAGGAAGCCGAGGCAGAATTGCTAAGAGCCGCTCCAAAAGTTAAGGAAGCAGAAAATGAATACAACGGAGCATTGCTCACTGCTTTCTCCCCTGACGACGACCTGTACCTGTGAGACAACTTTTGTGACGAAATTAAGAAAAACAGTTTTCTATATGATTTCAGGCACATGGCAGACGAATATGTACGTCAAATGCGGCAAATGCTTCTTCAAAGTACAAAACTTATCGGTGATACAGGCTGAACTGGGGGCAACTCCCACTGCAGAAGAAGGCTAAGCGTTGTACCAGAAAAGACGGAAGAACGGGGAAACGCTGCCATACGAAGGAAGAAACAGGTGTCGGCAGCAAAGTTTCCTTGAATAGCGGGAATAACTAAACGCTTATATGTTCTAGTCGCTCCTGAATGCGTAACGACGCGGTACATGAACTATCCCTTGAGGTTTGAACGGCGGAGTAATCTGGTGACAGCGGGTTACCGCGTCTTCGCACGTCCGGAGCTAAAATCACGTCTCATGGATTGAAAACTCTGACTAGATGCGGATGATATCAATCGCAGTGCGTAGAGGAGCGTTCAGATGCTTGCAACCTGGCGTGTATGGTCGAGAATACAGAAAAATGTAGTTCCAGAAAGTTGCGCTCATTTGCATTTAGAACGCTAGAGATACATGCGCTAAAATTTCTTAAGCCGCCGCCTGTTGGGAAACGCAAACCACGGATGCAGAGCTTTTTTCTTGCTGAATGTTCGGTGGCGTGAAACCTCATTTACTTCTCCTGGTGGATGCACTTAGGTGCCGCTCGCACGGACGTCCACCAACAAAGGCTGTTGAGTGCGCTAGAGAAATTAGCAATATCCGAGGAATGCGCGCCAACGCAAGCTTAGCAGCAACACGAAGAATGGCAATTCCCCAGAGAACACCATTGAAAACATCGAGACCAGCCTAGCGGTTCGGTGTGCACCTTGAAGTCTGCCCCACTAGAATTTGGGAATCTGTCTGATTTGAATGGTGTTAGAGGCGGATGAACCTTGTTTTGTAAGTGGAAATTCTTGGCTTTCGGAGTCGTGGGGTGAAAGCGACACCGCTGGCAGCCTCTGGGGTCGACGGTTCGGTTGTTGTCTGCAATGCACGTTCCAAGGATTGTATGTCTCTTTTCGCCAGGAAGTCTCTCTACTTTGAGCCTAAAAGTGTTCGATTCGAGAAATCGGATACGCTTTGTTAATTTGCCTTGTAAATCGGCCGAAAAGGTTCTTTGTTGTGGAATGCTTTCAGGGCGTACCGGTTCAGTTTCGCGGTTTTGCTGGAGTGGATACAGTTTTGGCTGAATCGGGCCTAATTTCAGACACCTTTGCCATACCTATGTGGTGATGTGAATAAATGTAGGCTTTAAGACATAGCTTTTGATACATGAGATTTATGAATAAAGCACATGTATCGCCACATTCGCCTGTGTCTGATGCGCGGTGTGCCGCCCATACACCTGAACACTAGCGGCGGCAGCACCGTGCACGTGTTGTTTCGCGGCTGGTCGTTGCTCTTGAGCAATACGCCTCTGAACCCTTCTGCCCAGTTGTTGCTTGTTTCTTCTTTTTACAGATGCGGATTCTGTCTTGGAAAGTGTTATTCCTTATTTCCCTTCGTACGAGGCTGTTTTTTTCCTCGCCTGGTGAGGGCGCCACCGGCGCCGCAGCCGAGAAACCGCTGCCCTCTTCGCTCCCTAGCAACAGCCACAGCAGCTTTTGACGGGCTCACAGCAACGCAACAGGCGGTGTCTCCGAAAGCGCTGAAATCCAATTGCTTTGTTTAAGGCCCTTTATTTTACGCTGTGTGCACGCGCGTGTGTAACGTTTTTGCCCTATCCGCGGCTCGTGGCATCCAGCCGTGTGTGCACCAAGGCGGTTCCTCCTTCCACCGCTAGGACGATGGAAGCACAGGAGATCCCTCACCAGCCCGCTTCTAGAGGCATTCCTTCCGAGAGCCTGTCAGTAGGATATTCCCCGCCTGAGCCTCCGTCCGCAGAAGATGCTCCGTCGCCTCTGCTAGCCGCAGAACGCACATCGATCCGCCGAAGCAGTGCTGGATGCAGCACCAGTTTCAGCCAGCTGACAATGAGCCCCTGTGTGTCTCCGGAAAAGAAGGACTTACCTCGGGAAGCGCCGAAGCTTGGCGAAGGCGGCAACTGGCAGTGTCACTTCTGCCTGAACGTCAACTACCCCCGGCGGACTGTCTGCAACAGGTGCATGACAGAAAGAAGCAAAGAAAACACGCAGCGCGTGTCGGAGTTCATGCGCCTCAAAGAAGGCTTCCTCAGCATGGGGCTTGACAGTCAGACTGCTACTTCCGCAGCTGCAGCGCAACAAGCGGCGCGCGCATGCGTAGCAGTGGCGGCGGCTGCCAACAGCATCAGCGTGAGCAGATGCAGCAACCAGGGAGATCGTCTAGACAGCGCCAGCAGCGGCAGCAGTAGCGTGCTCGCAACTGACGGAGAAGGGCTTCGGTTAGTCTCTTTTCCAGTGGAGTATCAGCCGCATCCTTTGCCGCTGTTGCACTGCCCCCGCTCTTTCGATTCGAAGGCGTTGCGACGTGGCATGCAGCAGACTTTATCGAGCGCTCTGCCAGCTTCGCAGCAGCAGCAGCCAGGGGATCTGCTGCTGCAGCAGCTGCACAGAGACAAGCTGAATTGTGATGGTGGCAACGCGCCAGGAGTGAGCAGCAGAGACACCTCGGGCGGTCCAGTGCGCTGCAACAGCTACGGCGACAGCAGCAACTGCTGCGGCTCAGAAAGCGAAGCTGCAGACTACCCTCCGCTGCGCCACTGGGGAGGAGGAAGCAGCAACAGCAGAGGCAGCAGCGGCAGCGACGGCGATGAACAACAGCAGCAGCAGCCAGTCCTAATGCGAGCAGAAGCGCTTGTTCGCGCTCTGGTGCAAGAGTTTGGTGTCAACGAGCAGCATCCGCAGCAGGCTGCTCCCGCTTCGTCGGCAGCCTCTCTAGATGCAGCAGCGGCGTACGCTGCAGGAGTGCTGCGTGCAGCGCTGCTTTTGTTGGGGAAAAGCGCTCCTTCTGACGCAGCGTTGACTACGCAGCAGCAGCAGCAGCAGAGACACCAACAGCAGCAGCTGCTGCAGCAGCTCTGCTGCCCCCAAATGCTCGCACATCCCGATGAATTCAAGAATCCGTCATCTTTTCTGAAGATTTACGGGGATCCCTTGTGCTCTGTCGCTGCCTTCTGCTCCTCGAGCAGCAGCAGCAGCAGCACCAGCACCAGCAGCAGCAGCAGCACACACCTTGCGCCGAACAAGGCTGGCAACTGGATCTGCAGCAGCTGCAATAACGTGAATTTTCCAAGGCGCTTCCGCTGCAACAAATGCCAAGAAGCTAGGTCGACGGAGGCTGACAAAATCGTGGCTGAGTATGCCCGTGCGGTGTACATGCACCACGCAGAGAAGCTGCGACAGCACCAGCTCCAGCAGCAAGTGCAGCACCTCAAGCAGCAGGATGCTCAGCAGCAGCTGCGCTCCGTGAAGCAGCAGGATCCGTGCTACCCCCTGCAGAGGTGGCAGAAACTGCGTGGCATGCAGCAGCAACAGCAGCAACAGCAGCAAGAGCGACATGGTCTGCCGCAGTCTTCCGAGGAAGCCTCCCAGCCTGCCTCGTTCCTCCATCGTAAGTCGAATTCATTTGAGAGCTCAGTAGCGACAGCTGAAACGGCAGCAGCTACGCTGACGCAAATCCGGCAAGAAAAATCTCTGCCTCACAGGGCACAAGGTTCTCCAGATTTCTCCTGCTATCTGGTGCAACAGCAGCAACAGCAGCAGCAGCAGCAGCGACTGCTGTTGCAGCAAAAGTCTTTGTATTCCCAGCCTCGAGGGTGCTCAACAAAGCACGAACCTTCTTGTGCTCCTCCAGGCGCTGCCCTCGTTGAGTCTCCCCCAGTGCTGCTGCCTGTACACCACACCATGGATCAGTAGGCAAAGGTTGCATCGCACTGCAGCAGCAGTTGGAGTGGCTGCGAGGAGGGGCTTGCACGAGAAGCAGCAGCAGCTGATGATTTGGCAGGATGGAGGTGTCACTCTCGCCGCTGCAGAGCAGCACCACACCCCCTCCCCTCTCCCTCCCTTCATGCGTATTGATAGAGGCGCTGCAGCGGCAGCAGCGACAGAAGCAGCAGACGCGCTTGCTGCTTTGCCACCCCTGCCGGCTCTTTGCGCGTATATATATATATATTTAATCTCCTCCCTCTCCCCTTCCACCCTCTAGTTTTTGTCGCTTTTATACTTCTTTGGCGTGTCTGTATCATACCCCGCGGCAGTCGGCTGCGAACGCTGGGAGCTGCGCACACACAGCTGAAACCAGGAAAGCCTATGCACGTAAACAAAGTCAAGAGTGGGTAGGTTAGTAAGTGCGTGCGTGTATGTGTGTATGCTCACGGGCTAGCTAGCCGTATGTAAGCCTTTTCAGAGGAGCAACGCTTTGACGCACATATTAGCAGCGGCGGAACCACAAGACGTAACAACGTTAGCGCACAGCAGCCACTGCGGGAGCTGTCGGCGCTGTTTTTTCGTATTGTTTGTGCATCGATGGCGGCTGCCTCGTGCTGGCACCTTCTCTGCCGCTGCAACGTGTGCGTGTGAGGGGGGTGGGTGGGTTGGGAGGTTAGGGGGGCAGTGCTGTTATAGGAGTGCTGTTGTTGTAATGCCGTTGGTGCACGCTGCCGCTCAGCCGAGCCGCCGCGCAACTAAGAGGCGCTTGAACTGCTTTGCAGCTGAAGCGACGCTTCCTCTTGCGGAGGCTTGGCTATAAGGGTTTAGAGTGGGGTAGGCGCTCATTCAGCAAGCCGCGTGGGTGCTTCAAGCGCTGCGTTGCGTTTATGGTTCGATCCTCGGAGTGAGGCGAGGGGAGGAGCTTCCTAGGAGTCTCCCCTCGCCTCTGAAGGGGATAAAATTACACTCAGGCCCCACGACGAGGGCTTGTTGCTGCTGCAGCAGCAGCTGTTGCTGCAGCTGTTGCTGCTGCTGTTGCTGCTGCTGCTGCTGGAGAAGGGGGGTGTCTTCTGAGGCTGCGACGAAGGGGTGGAGGAGCAGCTCCCCCTCAGGCGCCAGCGAGGGCAAGCGTGCCTTGTAGAGGCGCCAAGCGAGCCACGCGCCTACCAAGCTGCATGCAACACCCACAAGGCACTGCACTACTGCCCATGCCTCCGTGCACCGCCAACCCTCTGCCTCCTGTGGAGCGCCGCTGTGTGGCTGGCTCTGGGGAGCCTTCTCGCGGGAGCGGGTGGCTTGCTCGCATGCACGCTTGCTTACCAGACGAAAGGGCTGACACAGAAGGTGCCCAGCTCTAGATAGATCTGGAAGACGGCAGGCAGGTGCTCTGGGGGGAGCAGTCTTTCCGTCGCAGAAGCGCTTGCGGGAGGAGGCTTCTCCTGCGAGAATTCCGCCGTTGGAGTGGCGCTGATGGCAGGAGCTCCTAGGATGAAAGGCTTCCAATAAAACTTGGGCTCTAGCCATGACATGCCGTAGGGTCCAGTGCACTTCACGAGGAGCCAGAAGGCATCGGAGATTCCTAGAATGAGGCTGAAAAAAGCCAAGAAGAAGAGGCGAACAAGGCTGCCACTGCTGGAGTGTATCTGGTGCCGCGGCTGTTTGTGCTGCCCGCAACCCAGGAAGACAAGGAAGATGTTGCCGGCAGCAATTAGTGGTCGGGGGGTGAAGAGGCGCAGAGCAGCCAGCAGCAGCTGGCAGAGGGTGCACACTTGCAGCCAGCAGTTCGCTGTGCAGCATGCAGCCTCTGGGGAGGGTTGTGTTGCGGCAGCCTCTGGGGAGGGTTGCGCTGCGATGCGCGGCGCTGTGGCGGAGAGGGGAGGGCAGAGGGGAGCGACGAAGGCGGGGACGGATTCTGGAGGCGGAAGGGGAGCTGCAGACGCAGCGGCAGATGCTCTGGAGGCAGTCGAAACGGCAGCTGGAGGACTGTCGCGAAGAGGAGCTGCTGCATCTGCGAGTTTTGCGGGTTGATGGGCAGCGCCTTCTTCATGCCCAAAGTCGACCATCGTCGAGTCACGCTGGGAAGGGGTTGCTGCGGAAGAAGCACTCAAGAGCCTGTGTGGAGCGGATTTTGATGCGGCTCGCAAACCGCCGTTGCGATCGGAGTCAAACGTGCAGCGTCCAAGGCGGCAGGAGAAAGGAGGCACGGCAGCTGAAGGGGTAGAGCTGCGCTCGCAGCCTCCTCCCTCCAGCTACTTCCACTGGCGCAGCTGCAGCCGTGGCTGTTTCAGGTGTACACGGGGGACTGTGATTACGAGGCGCTTCTTTTTGCAACAAGCCCTCTAATGGCGTTTTTTCGGGGGAGGAGAACAACGCACTCTGCCTATGTATTGTCGCTGCCTCCGCTGTCGCTTCAGCCTCCAGAAAATTTCAAAAACAAAGATACATGCACTCGAGTCTAGATGCGCTGCGCTCAGCGGCTGCGGATCTGACGGGCTTTTTGGACGCCTGCTGAGCGTCGACGCAAGGAAGACACCTGAGCGCCGTCGTGGCCTCTTCCTGAGTTTTTCGTGGCTCTCTCTCCGCAAATAAATGCCGCCACAGATCCAGCAGCGCTGCTAAAAAGCAAAAAGAGACAAAGACGTGAAGAGAGAATAAAAACCAGCAAGGGGATGCACCGATGCCCTCCAGCCTGAGGCAAGAAAGACCAGCGGCTCACAGGCGTAGAGCAGTAGCGCGCTTGCAGACGAGACTACGACGGAGCACTGCCGAAAGAGGCGCAACCGCGAGAAGCGCTGGCGCAGTCTTCGCAAAAACTTTGCTTTTGCTCTTTTTAACGATTAACAAATGCATTTAAAGGCCGCTAACCTTTGCAAGCGAACGATACTTCACCTCCAGAGAAGGCACACAGCATCCTCCATACAGCCCCCTCGACCGCGACCACCCCGCGCGGAGACTGTGGTGGCGCATACAGCAGCAGCTGTAAATTCGCAGTTGTCAAAGCTGCGATCGCGCAGTGCTCCTCTTCCTCCCTCATTAATTTCCCCTTAACAAGAGCATAGCAATCGCCGTGTTCATGTGAACCGGAGGATGCTGTCTTCGGAAGCCGAATACGCGAGAACACGCCACCAGGGCGTCTGCTGTCTCGCCTCCCGGCTGGTTTTGCAGAGCAGCCCAGTCGAGTCGCTTCTCCTTGCTTCACTGACAAGTAGCCTCTCATTAAATGCACGCCTGCGAAGGCGGAAGCGGCCTTTCACAGGGTGTCTGTACTGCTCGGGTAAGAAAAAACTCCCGCGGGAACCCCTTCGCCACCCTCCCGCCCTGGTGGCATCGCGCGTCACCATGAGATTTTGGCCTCCTAACATTTTCCAGGGGTCAAGAGCGCTAGAGACTGGCCAAAAAGACGCCAAAGTCTCTGACAGAAAGACCTTCCGGCTCCACTAGCAGCCCCCTACAATGCGTACCTTTTAGAGGGTGGTGTCTGTGCACGATCTAGAACGTCGAGACAGTGCATGGATGCCTTTCTGGCAAGCCACCTGTTTCCTTAGGGTGTTGGTCTTTTACGCATTGCCCAGCCACTTGGTTTGAAGCCTGCGTGCCCCCTACACTCCTGGAATTTCCCTGCCTCTGATACTGCTAGATCTTCCCTACCCCCTACACTCCTAGAAGTTCACTGCCTCTGATACTGCTAGATCTTCCCTACCCCCTACACTCCTGGAAGTTCCCTGCCTCCAGTACTGCTAGATCTTCCCTACCCCCTGCACTCCTGGAATTTCCCTGCCTCCGATACTGCTAGATCTTCCCTACCCCCTACACTCCTAGAAGTTCACTGCCTCCGATACTGCTAGATCTTCCCTACCCCCTGCACTCCTGGAATTTCCCTGCCTCCGATACTGCTAGATCTTCCCTACCCTCTACACTCCTGGAATTTCCCTGCCTCCGATACTGCTAGATCTTCCCTACACCCTACACTCCTAGATCTTCCTACCCCCGCCCTTGTACCGCGCTGCAGTCATCCCCCTTCCTCCTATTAGCCACTCAGCAAGCTCCTCCTCTTCAGCCGCCATGAGAGACAAATGCGATCGGCATGTCTACAGTCCACGACTTCCACGCGCGCGCGCTCTATTATTAGGTTCTCATCACTTTTGCACCGCATGCACATCCGTGGGCTGCCGCGTGTATGGCGCGCACTGCCGGTAGAGCCAAGCGACTGCTCGAGCTTCGCCGCAATCGAGAACCGCTAGCGAGGTGCATGCATGCGTGTTACAGATCTTTAGAAAGCCCCAAGAATCGCTGGCAGGA